AGCGCTACGGGAGCTGATCGATCGGAACAGCGCCGTGTTTTCCGAGAAGCCGAGCCGAATGACCGTCATTGAACACCACGTCCGCACCCGGCCCGGAGAAACGGTACGAAAGAGGCCATACCGGATGCCTGAAGGAAAGCCGTGAAGCAGGTGCTGGAGGCTATGCTGAGGATGGGAGTCATTGAGGTTTCCCACAGCGCATGGTGCAGCTCCATCGTGTTGGTGCCCAAACTGCACAGTAGTCTGAGTTTCTGCAATGACTTCCGGGGGGTGAACGACATCAGTTTGTTTGACGCCCACCCCATGCCGAGGTTGGACGAGCTCATCGACCGGTTGGGAAAGGCCCGGTACATCAGCACCCTGGACCTGACCAAGGGATATTGGCAGGTACCCTTGGCAGCCTCCTCCCGGAAGAAGACAGCATTCTCGACACTGGACGGCTTATACCAATACCGGGTCCTCCCGTTCGGTCTCCATGGAGCCCCGCCCACGTTCCAGCGCCTGATGGACCGAGTCCTCCGACCCCACCAACATTACGCAGCGGCCTATTTGGATGACATCATCATCCACAGCCAAGGTTGTGAAGAGCACCTGACGCGCCTCCAGGCGGTACTGGATGCGCTCAGGCAAGCCGGGTTGACAGCGAATCCCAAGAAATGCAAGCTGGGGTTCGAGGAGGTGGAGTACCTGGGGTATTTGATCGGACAGGGGAATATCAAGCCCCAGGAGAGGAAGGTCCAGGCGGTTCGTGACTGGCCCGTTCCCCCGCACCAAGACACAGGTGAAGTCCTTCCTGGGGCTGGCGGGATACTATAGCCGGTTTATCCCCAACTTTGCGGCTATAGCCTCTCCCCTTACCGATCTGACCAGGGCCCGCCTCCCGAAGAACAGTGAAGTTGTTGGATGAGGCCGAAGCGGCGTTCAGCCACCTGAAGGAAGCGCTGTGCTCCCATCCGATTCTCGTGATGCCCGATTTCCAGGCACCGATGCTGGTGCAGACAGATGCCTGCGACACGGGACTAGGGGACATCCTGTCCCAGGTACACGATGGGGAGGAACACCCCACCAGGGGGAGACTCGTCGAGGCCTGGTGACAGACAGAGTCTATATCACGCGGTGGTGGCTCCCTCTGCTGGACGTGCCAGGTATCGACGGGTCCTCCGGCCAGTACTAATTGGGGCTGATTGAGGCTGGTGAGTAATCAAGGGGCTGAATGCTCACCAGCCATACGGGGCCCATAAGGCTGCCAGGAGGGCAGCACACGGGAGGGTTGGAGGTAGTGAGAGGTTGCTACCGGATAGACGTCCTCACGGTCTGCTAGAACCGAGGGGCTCGGTGTTCTACCCCAGAGGAGACAGCATTCCCCGGAGCCCAGAAGGCGGTAACCCGGAAGAGGTCTCCTGGAGGAGACAGGTTTATTTTCTTTTTCTTTATTGTTTTAAATAAACACCCTTGAAACTGAGGCATCACACTTGTGTCTGTGTCTGATCTGTGTAAACGTCTTGATCAAACCCCCTAGTATGCCACAATATAAATGGTAGTGGGCATATTGAATACAGGGTTGTTTGACATGACAACAAATGAAAATGCCAGGGAGGAGTTATTGCAACAGGGTAGGAACCAAAGTGCTGGTCAGTGTTTCCTAGGGGACCCTATAATATTTGGCTACATTAAATGTTTCTTCATGTAGCCAACATATTCATGCTTCACCTATTCTTCTTTGTTATAAGATACTGTTGCACAAACAACATGCTGATTTAGGCCTACACCATCACTGGTATCAGGCTGTATTAGTTAGCTACGTTTCCTCTGACATTTATTAGCTAGCTAACATGATTGAGCTAAAACTTGCTATGAAAAGACTGTTTGCAGATGTAGGAAACACAAACTAATAGTGTAATTATAGAATGCTTGTGGATTTATATTAAGAAGCAAAGTGGAAGCAGCATCATTGTCATCAACATTGTTGCATGTGCTGTATTGACAATGCAGACTTAATGGAAGTGTCTTGTGGTCAAGCAACAACAAATGCGCTCTTTGAGTGACAGGGGGCGGGGCTAAGTCTGTGTGGAAAGCTTCATGGATAGAGAGAGCGAGAGAGTGGAGAGGGATGACTCAAGTAGCGGTTTAAACTACAAAAATTTACTTTACACATGGCATATCACATTTAACTAACCATACATTCAAATACCATTATAGAAGGTAAAGTGAAAACCCAAACCGGTCCATGCATCAATACCAGTATATAGTCAAATATGGTATACCACCCAGCCCTAAACATAGGCCTTTGTAGGGAGTGTGTGAGGTTTCAGAGGAACAGCTCCAGTGTTTTGTCAGGGAGAGGGGGCCTGAGACAGCTGAGGGTGAGTGGAGGTAAGGAGGGGGAGTAAAGGAGAGGGAGAAAGAGAAGATGGGGGCTGTGGGAATCCAACACAGATGGACAGCAAGCAGGAGAAGATGTGTGATACTGTAGACTCATAGACTAGACCAGTGGTTCCCAACCAGGTGTACTAGGACCCCTGGGGTTCCTTGGCCTATCCACAGGGGGTACTTGAGAACACTCATGAGACCATAGGTTTACTGGTAAAATGCACATTCAGGGGTACTCCGGGAAGAGCAAAATTCAGTTGGTGGTACAGTAAGCGAAAAAGGTTGGGAACCAGTGGACAAGACAGAGCCACATACATAGGTTGCTGTTTACACAACCTCACAATTTTCTATTAATACACCTGGAACTTTTCTCTGGACAAAGCACTTCTCTCACAGAACACTGTTTAAGCGTCAGTGCTTTATAATACAATAACAGACTGGGTGAAATGGAGTATAGGTGGCAGCATAAAGGGGGATAGAAAGGGAGAGAGAAAAAAAGAGGAGTCTAGCAAGTGTTGGCATGTAGATAACGATGAGTTTACTGCTCTGTGCCAGGGATTATACCTGATACTCATTAGCCTACCTCTTTTACGCTGTCACCACACATGCATTGTGTGTGTGTGTGTGTACCTGTGTGTATGTGTTTGTGTTACTGATGTAACACTGCCGTCCGTCTGGTCTTCCTATGAATATTTGATGTATAAACTGTGTGTGTGTGTGCATGTGTGAGGGTGAGTGCATACCTGTGTGTGCGTACATACCTGCATGTGTTTGAATGTGCATGTGTGCACGTGCTTGTGTGTGTGTGGGAATGACATCCAGTGTGATAATCCCCCTGGCCTCGCTCAGTGTTCCCCGCCCCAAATGATTGTTATCATTCCTCCATGACTCATCATGCCAGTGATGGAAAATGCACCAGTTAAAACACAATGAGGGGAAAGAGCATAACAGACTATAGGCATAGGCCTAAAGCCTATCAATGCTGTTGCATCTAGCTTTTGTCAGAATGTCTAGTCGTTGGAGATATAGGCTAGGCTACAGCATCATGCACAATGTTGCTGTTTTTGAGTTGTCAATGCAATTAACTGTCATTTCATAAATTAGAGTCAGTCGGTCAACAGTCTATGCTACTATGATAAGGACTGAACATGGTAGGGAGGATAGGCCTAGATGAAGATCATGAAGTTATTTAGGCTCTATTGGGTTATGTCAAAAAGTGTTGGGGTGCCTTTCAAAACAAGTATTTTAAAGCATTTGTAAAACACATCCAAAATAGTTGTTTATTGTTATTGAGTGAAAAGGGGGTGGAGAGCATAGCATGCACTGTGGGTCCCTTAGGATGGGTCTGGGTGGAGAGATATTGGATCTCACTGTTCTGCACACTGCCCTTAAGTGACTCTGTTCAGATGGGGAGAGAGAGAGGCTCCGTCTGGAAAACATTATTCAAATTCCACAAGGCTGGATATCTGATGATGTTGGCAAAGAGAGAGAGGGGACTATGGAGGGGTGTTGGGTTTTTAAATGATAGTAACTGGAATCAGAACAGAGGTGGAGGCGGACAATAGCGATTGCTGTCCTCAAACTGAGACCAGTGACCTTGGCCTTACCAACCCTGTCAGGGGGTGAAGCCACTGTAGGGTGAAAGAGACTGTCAAATAAGTGTACTGCTGCTCCACTCTGTGTGTACTGTACATGAGGGGTTAGGGGATATAGTTTTCACTAACACACACTCACAAAATGTGTGAACATATAGCCGTAGCCTACAAACATATGGACTGTTTCTTTTCATGGACGGGAAGAGAGCCAAGGAGAGGTTTAGGGATGAAATTAATCTTTTTGGTGTGACAGTTCTATTGCTGTCATCTCCAATGAATATGTCTCAGCTTGTGGGAGAAGAGAAGACAAGAAGGAGGGAGGGAAGGAGGGAGGGAAATAATGCACTCAGGGCTCGTCATGTGACTTCTGCTTGTAACTTTTTCTTTATAGTTTCAGAGCGATTACATGTTTTGTTAATGTCCATGGGCTGTTAGCATATTTTTCCAAACCTTTTGAACTCTTCCTTCTCTCTGCCCTCTATTCTTTGGTTCTGCTCAGACAGAATACTTTCCCTCGTCTTTTCTCTCTTTTCTTTTTTGGAAGTTGCTCTGGTCCAAATGTGTGACGCGTGATTGGAGTTACAGCCTGTGTTTCAGATCGGTGATTTAAGGACTTGCGGACTAATGAAGGAGAGGATGTTTTCTTGACCTGTCAATGGGACTACCGGGCTGAAGGTGTAAACAAGTTGAACTGCTGGTATTTAGGCTTGACGCTGTGTGTTTTGTCCTCATATGGTAGCAGGGCGGACAGAGAGAACAGAGAGAGAGAGGGAGAGCGTGGTGAGGGTGTGTACGTGTGTGTTTGGAAGAGAGAAACAGACTGACAGAAACAGAGAAGGTATACTGTACTGTGTGCGAGAGAGAGAAGAAGGAGAGAGTAACTGTAATCTGGATCTATTGCACATGGACAGAGAGAGTTAGATGAGCTACTAACTAGAACACGTAGGGAGTCTTCCTGACGTGGAGGGAGGACCACTGACTCCAGAGGCACCAAGGACCAGAGAGGGAGATCAGCAAACACTAAGCTAGGACAGGATGAGGTACCGAGGCAGGGTAAGATCCTTATCCCCTCTCTACATGCTGAAACATGTCATTGATGTCTGTTTGTGTGTGTGTGTGTGTGTGTGTGTGTGTGTTGCAGAACACACAGAGCAGATGTGTACAGAACATACTATGTGTATGTGAACTACACTACCAGTCGAAAGCTTGGACACACCTACTCATTCAAAGGTTTTTCTTTATTTTTACTATTTTTTATGTTGTAGAATAATAGTGAAGACATCAAAACTATTAAATAACACATATGGAATCATGTAGTAACTAAAAAAGTGTTAAACAAATCAAAATATATTTTATATTTGTCACGCCCTGACATAGTGATTTCTAGTTGGTTTGGTCAGGGTGTGAATATCTATGTGTAGATCTAGTATGTTTAGATCTATGTTGGCCGGGTGTGGTTCCCAATCAGAGGCAGCTGTTGATCGTTGTCTCTGATTGGGGATCATACTTAGGCAGCCATTTTGCCTACCTTTAGTTGTGGGATCTTGTTTCTGTGTGTTTGGCTTGTTTGATGTATAGCCTTTAGAACTTCACGTTCAGTTGCTTTGTTATTTTGTCGAGTGTTTCTTATTAACATTAAACATGTACGTATACCATGCTGCACCTTGGTCCAATCCTTTACTCAACGAACGTGACAGAAGATCCCACCACCAAGGGACCAAGCAGCGTGAACAGGAAGAGCAGACAACATGGACATGGGAGGATATTTTGGACGGTAAGGGATCCTGGACTTGGGAAGAGATCCAGGCAGGTATGGATCGCCTTCCTTGGGAGCAGACGGCGACAGCGAGAAAGGATAAACGGCGAATCCGAAGTGCACAACGACGAAGGAGGCCCGAGAGGCAACCCCAAGACAATTTTTTGGGAGGGCACACGGGGTGGTCGACGAAGCAGCAGGAGGCCGTGAAAAGGCTGACTGTGGAGGAGGAGGAGGCCGCTATAGTAGAGGCCCTCCAAGACCTGCAGCTCAGCAGTCTGAGAGAGGAGACCACCACATTGCGGGGGCTGTTAGCTCAGAGGGAGCAGGAGTTCTCCCTTCAGAGGGAGGCGCTACAGGAGGCTCACAGGAAGAAGGAGTCAGTGGATGCACTGAGAGAGGAGTTGGCCAGGCAACAGGAGAAGCTGAGAGAGGAGTTAACCCTTCAGCAGCAGAGAGCTCAGTACTTAGAGCAGAGGCTGGCGAAGCCAGGTTGCAGAGCAGAGCCAACTCCCCGCACTCGCTTTGAGGAGCGTGTGAACGTGCAGGCACCAGGCTATGCGCCGGCGTTGCGCACTGTGCCGCCAGGGCGCCTTCACAGACCCGTGGTGCGTGTCCCCAGTCCGGTACGGCCCGTGCCTGCTCCTCGCACCAAACCAGTGGTGCGTGTCTCCAGTCCGGTACGGCCCGTGCCTGCTCCTCGCACCAAACCAGTGGTGCGTGTCTCCAGCCATGTACGGCCCGTGCCAGCTCCTCGCACTAAACCAGTGGTGTGTGTCACCAGCCCGGTGCGCCCCATACCTGCTTCCCGCACCAAACCAGTGGTGCGTGTCTCCAGTCCTGTACGGCCCGTTCCTGCTCCACGCACCAAACCAGTGGTGCGTGTCTCCAGCCATGTACGGCCCGTTCCTGCTCCACGCACCAAACCAGTGGTGCGTGTCGCCAGCCCGGTATGCCCCGTACCTGCTTCCCGCACCAAACCAGTGGTGCGTGTCTCCAGTCCTGTACGGCCCGTGCCTGCTCCTCGCACCAGACTAGTGGTGCGTGTCTCCAGTCCGGTACGGCCCATACCTGCTCCTCGCACCAAACCAGTGGTGCGTGTCTCCAGCCATGTACGGCCCGTGCCAGCTCCTCGCACTAAACCAGTGGTGTGTGTCACCAGCCCGGTGCGCCCCATACCTGCTTCCCGCACCAAACCAGTGGTGCGTGTCTCCAGTCCTGTACGGCCCGTTCCTGCTCCACGCACCAAACCAGTGGTGCGTGTCTCCAGCCATGTACGGCCCGTTCCTGCTCCACGCACCAAACCAGTGGTGCGTGTCGCCAGCCCGGTATGCCCCGTACCTGCTTCCCGCACCAAACCAGTGGTGCGTGTCTCCAGTCCTGTACGGCCCGTGCCTGCTCCTCGCACCAGACTAGTGGTGCGTGTCCCCAGCCCGGTACGGTCCAGTCCAGGGTCAGAGCAGTCCGTTCCACCGGTGCCTAGTCCAGCTCCGGTCAGCTGCTCCACTCCAGTGCCAGAGCAGTCCGCTCCACCGGTGCCTAGTCCAGCTCCGGTTAGCTGCTCCAGTCCAATGCCAGAGCAGTCCGCTCCACCGGTGCCTGGTCCAGCCCCGGTCAGCTGCTCCAGTCCAGAGCCAGAGCAGTCCGCTCCACCAGGGTCCAGTTCAGCTCCGGTCAGCGGCTCCACTCCAGTGCCAGAGTAGTCCGCTCCACCGGTGCCTAGTCCGTGTTCGGTCGTCTACTCTCCCACACCAGGTTCCAGACAGGACTTGGTGCATTGCGGGAGGACTGCAGAGCCAGAACCAGACATCAACCCCTCTTCAGGGTCGGGGCCTCCCACACCAGGGTCCAGACAGGGCTTGGTGCATCACGGGAGGATTGCCGGTCCAGGCCCAGACGTCAGCCCTTCTCCAGCGTCCAGACAGGGCTTGGTGCATCGTGGGAGGACTGAGAGGGGAAGCATCGCGCCGGGGTCCAAACCGGACCAGGTGTGCAATGGGGAGCCAGAAAAGGAGACGACAGTAAGGGTGACGTCGCGCCCGGAGCCGGAGCCGCCACCGAGTCAGTTTTGCGACCGGAGTCCGCACCTTTGTGTTGGGGGGTTACTGTCACGCCCTGACATAGTGATCTCTAGTTGGTTTGGTCAGGGTGTGAATATCTATGTGTAGATCTAGTATGTTTAGATCTATGTTGGCCGGGTGTGGTTCCCAATGAGAGGCAGCTGTCGATCGTTGTCTCTGATTGGGGTTCATACTTAGGCAGCCATTTTGCATGCCTTTAGTTGTGGGATCTTGTTTCTGTGTGTTTGGCTTGTTTGATGTATAGCCTTTAGAACTTCACGTTCAGTTGCTTTGTTATTTTGTCGAGTGTTTCTTATTAACATTAAACATGTACACATACCACGCTGCACCTTGGTCCAATCCTTTACTCAACAAACGTGACAATATTTGAGATTCTTCAAATAGCCACCCTTTGCCTTGATGACAGCTTTGCACACGCTTCACATTCTCTCAACCAGCTTCATGAGGTAGTCACCTGGAATGCATTTCAATTAACAGGTTTGCCTTGTTAAAAGATAATTTGTGGAATTTATTTCCTTCTTAATGCGTTGGAGCCAATCAGTTGTGTTGTGACAAGGTAGGGGGGTGTACAGAAGATAGCACTATTTGGTAAAAGACCAAGTCCATATAATGGCAAGAACAGCTCAAATAAGCAAAGAGAAATGACAGTCCATCATTACTTTAAGACATGAAGGTCAGTCAATATGGAAAATGTCAAGAACTTTGAAAGTTTCTTCAAGTGCAGTCGCAAAAACCATAAAGCGCTATGATGAAACTGGCTTTCATGAGGACCGCCACAGGAATGGAAGACCGAGAGTTACCTCTGTTGCAGAGTATAAGTTCATTAGAGTTACAAGCCTCAGAAATTGCGGCACAAATAAATGCTTCACAGAGTTCAAGTCACAGACACATCTCAACATCAACTGTTCAGAGGGGACAGTGTGAATCAGGCCGTCATGGTCAAATTGCTGCAAAGAAACCACTACTAAAGGACACCAATAATAAGAAGAGACCTGCTTGGGCCAAGAAACACGAGCAATGGACATTAGACCGGTGGAAATTTGTCCTTTGGTCTGGTGTCCAAATTGAGATTTTTGGTTCAACCGCTGTGTCTTTGTGTGACACGTGTGGGTGAACGGATTATATCCGCATGTGTAGTTCCCACCGTAAAGGAAGGAGGAGGAGGTGTTATGGTGTGGGGGTGCTTTGCTAGTGACACTGTTTGTGATATATTTAGAATCCCGAGTGGCGCAGTGGTCTAAGGCACTGCATCGCAGTGCTAACTGTGCCACTAGAGATCCTGGTTCGAATCCAGGCTCTGTCGTAGCCGGCCGCGACCGGGAGACTCATGGGCGGCGCACAATTGGCCCAGCGTCGTCCAGGGTAGGGGAGGGAATGGCCGGCAGGGATGTAGCTCAGTTGATAGAGCATGGCGTTTGCAACGCCAGGGTTGTGGGTTCGATTCCCACGGGGGGCCAGTATAAAAAAAAAAAAAAATGTATTCACTAACTGTAAGTCGCTCTGGATAAGAGCGTCTGCTAAATGACTAAAATGTAAATGTAAATTCAAGGTACACTTAACCAGCATGGCTACCAAAGCATTCTGCAGCGATACGCCATCCCATCTGGTTTGGGCTTAGTGGGACTATCATTTGTTTTTCAACAGGACAATGACCCAACACACCTCCAGGCTGTGCAAGGGCTATTTTACCGAGAAGGAGAGTGATGGAGTGCTGCATCAGATGACCTGGCCTCCACAATCCCCCGACCTCAACACAATTGAGATGCCTTGGGATGAGTCGGACGGCAGAGTGGAGGAAAAGAAGCAAACAAGTGCTCAGCATACAGTGGGGAAAAAAAGTATTTAGTCAGCCACCAATTGTGCAAGTTCTCCCACTTTAAAAGATGAGTGAGGCCTGTAATTTTCATCATAGGTACACGTCAACTATGACAGACAAAATGAGATAAAATGTCTCCAGAAAATCACATTGTAGGATTTTTAATGAATTTATTTGCAAATTATGGTGGAAAATAAGTATTTGGTCAATAACAAAAGTTTCTCAATACTTTGTTATATACCCTTTGTTGGCAATGACACAGGTCAAACGTTTTCTGTAAGTCTTCACAAGGTTTTCACCCAATGTTGCTGGTATTTTGGCCCATTCCTCCATGCAGATCTCCTCTGGGTGGCTATTTGAAGAATCTCAAATCTCAAATATATTTTGATTTATTTAACACTTCTTTGGTTACTATATGATTCCATATGTGTTATTTCATAGTTTTTGTGATGCGCAGGAGGGTAAATCACAGAATACAGAGTTTATTCCGTAATCCAGCCTAACCAGTCCAGTGCGCAAAACAGGCGCACCTGAACAAACATGCACACGGGGAAAATACCCCGGCAATACAAAATACTGAGCTCAACCGAGCTACTAATCCTCACAATGAACAATCACCCACAAGGACAAGGGGGCAGGGGAACACTTAAACACGTACTAATGAGGGAAATATGAACCAGGTGTGTGTAATTGACAAGACAAGACAAATGGAATGATGAGATATGGAGCGGCAGTGGGTAGAAGGCCGGTGACGATGAACGCCGAAGCCTGCCCGAACAAGGAGGGGAGGCAGCTTCGGAGGAAGTCGTGACAGTTTTGATGTCTTCACTATTATTCTACAATGTAGAAAATAGTAAAAAAATAAAGATAACCCCTGGAATGAGTAAGTGTTCTAAAACTTTGGACTGGTACTGTTTATGGAACATTCCTCTGAAAACCAAGGTCATGTAAGCTGTTGGGTTGCCCTCACAGCGACCACAAAGAGGAAAGGGAGACACGTTCAGACATTCATCAATCACAGATAATGTGCTCAGCATGTGTATGAGTCAGGGTGTATGTATTTGGACTATAGTTGTCCCACCATTACTATGAGTCATCTACAATGCCTGGGACTGATTCTAGGCTCTCCATGGACATACTGTAGCTGGTATTTTTCCACACTGTTCAGTGCTAGCACATCCATGGTAGAGAGCCAGCTGTGGAGCTGATGTGTGTCCACCCATAGTAGGTTTGTCTGGGGACAGAGGAGAGGGGCACCTTATAAGGAAGAGATTGAGGGGAATCAACCCAGCGGAGCTGACTTAAAGGGCCCAGAGCCAAGTCCCACTGAAGCTTCCCTGCTGCCTCTCATAGATGCATCATCCACAACCCTCTTGGCTCCATAGGACTACAATACCCTCAACCCTCACTACTATAGGGGTCGTTCAATGTCATTTCAGCAAGCCATTACACCCACCATCTCTGATTGTTCTGTAATCGTTTCTGTAGTTAGAAACAGATAAGATAAGCATTCTGTAAACATTATTTTGATGAAATATAATTTGATCTCTCTCCCCCATCCCTCCTTCACTCTTGAGCCCTTTTAATTTATAGGATTCATATAATATTAAATAATGATAGTACCTAACATCTGATTTGGACCAAACTTTTTTCTAACAATAAGTAAGACATGAGGAATCCAAAGAAGTGGTCAAAAGCCATCCACGGACCCCCACACCCTACACCAGGTCTCCCCAACTGGCGGTTTTATTTGGCCCCCCATGTTTTCTGAGCAAAATTGTTTTTATAATTCTTATAATTTTCATTGTTGGACATAAAATACTTTAAAAACACCAGGAAATCAGCTCCAACTGATTTACATTTTTGGCAATCTGTTCCCAAGTATTCCCACGCATAATAGAGAGACACGTGATCGTATACAAATGTAAGGAAGGTGTGAAAGGATTATGTTTTAGTCAAATATTATATCTGTTTGGGCTTCTTGGCGTCAATTTGCAGTCTAAAAATTGTTATGTTCCGGCCCCCCCAACCATCCACTCAAGAAAAAATAGAAAAGTATTCAAACCCCTTGACTTTTTCCATATTTTGTTAGGTTACAGCCTTATTCTAAAACAGATTAAATAGTTTTGTTCCCTACACACAATACCCCATAATGACAAAGCAAAAACAGGTTTGTAGAAATGTGTGCTAATTTATTACAAATAAAAAACTGAAAAATCATATTTACATAAGTATTCAGACCCTTTACACAGTATTTTGTTGAAGCACCTTTGGCAGCGATTACAGCCTCAAGTCTTCTTGGGTATGACGCTACAAGCTTGGCACACCTGTATTTGGGTAGTTTCTCGCATTCTTCTCTGCAGATCCTCTCAAGCTCTGTCAGGTTGGATGGGGAGCATCAACTGCACAGCTATTTTCAGGTTTCTCCAGAGTTGTTCGATCGGGTTCAAGTTCGGGCTCTGGCTGGGCCACTCAAGGACATTCAGAGACTTGTCCCGAAGCCACTCCTGCGTTGTCTTGGCTGTGTGCTTAGGGTCGTTGTTCTGTTGGAAGGTGAACCTTCGTCCCAGTCTGAGGTCCTGAGCGCTCTGGAGCAGGTTTTCATCAAGGATCTCTCTGTACTTTGCTCCGTTCATCTTTGCCTTGATCCTGACTAGTCTCCCAGTCCCTGCCGCTGAAAAACATCCCCACAGCATGATGCTGCCACCACCATGCTTAACCATAGGGATGGTGCCAGGTTTCCTCCAGACGTGACGCTTGGCATTCAGGCCAAAGAGTTCAATCTTGGTTTCATCAGACCAGAGAATCTTGTTTCTCATGGTCTGAGAGTCTTTAGGTACCTTTTGGCAAACTCCAAGCGGGCTGTCATGTGCCTTTTACTGAGGAGTGGCTTCCGTCTGGCCACTCTACCATAAAGGCCTGATTGGGGGACTGCTGCAGAGATGGTTGTCCTTCTGGAAGGTTCTCCCATCTCCACAGAGGAATTCTAGAGCTCTGTCAGAGTAACCATTGGGTTCTTGGTCACCTCCCTGACCAAGGCCCTTCTCCCCCAATTGCTCAGTATGGCCGGGCGGGCCAGCTCTAGGAAGAATCTTGGTGGTTCCAAACTTCTTCCATTTAAGAATGATGGAGGCCACTGTGTTCTTGGGGACCTTCAATGCTGCCAAAAAAAATGTGTACCCTTCCCCAGATCTGTGCCTCGACACAATCATGTCTCGGAGCTCTACGGACAATTCCTTCGACCTCATGGCTTGGTTCTTGCTCTGACTTGCATTGTCAACTGTGGGACCTTATATAGACAGGTGTGTGCCTTTCCAAATCCAATGTCCAATCAATTGAATTTACCACATGTGGACTCCAATGAAGTTGTAGAAACATCTCAAGGATGATCAATGGAAACAGGATGCACCTGAGCTCAATTTCGAGTCTCATAGCAAATGGTCTGAATACTTATGTAAATAAGACATTTATGTTTTGGCTTTGTTATAAATTTGCAAAAACTTCTAAAAACCTGTTTAGGCTTTGGCATTATGGGGTATTGTGTGTAGATTGCTGAGTATTTAATTATTTAATACATTTTAGAATAAGGCTGTAACGTAACAATGTGTAGGAAAAAGTCAAGGGGTCTGAATACTTTCCGAAGGCACTGTAGTTGATGATCCCTGCCCTACTCCAATTCCAACCCCAACAACGAGTATATAGTATCAGTTCTCTATGTTTAACAATTAGTATGGAGCTGCGGCACGTAGTATTGTTTCTTCATCCTATGTAATGTATTCTTGGTGATGTTTGTTTTCCCTGTTCAAAGAAATTAGTCATTGAAGTTGTTGGGTTTATGTCCCATCCTACATTCTGATATTACCAGGTTCTGACCCCCCCCCCCCCCCCCCCCCTTGTTAAAGGGATAGTTATCCAAATTACAAAATTACATATTGGTTTTCTTTCTTCTGTCTATGAACCAGTTATGACAGCAACCCATGCATCCCGTGTTTATTGTGTGAATGAGTGATGCACACTATACACACACAAGCTATAACACACACACCTCATACTCACAAACACACACACATACATACACACACTCACTCACACATTCATTTACATTTACATTTTAGTCATTTAGCAGACGCTCTTATCCAGAGCGACTTACAGTTAGTGAATACATATTTTTTTTATACTCACACAGCCAACACTGCTGTCACATGTTATAGAGAGATTGAACCACTGGACACTTCCCATTTCACACTGTGTATTTAAATTCTGTATCTCTGACATAGCTCATTCTAATATTTCTACTACTGTACATTGTATTTTAGTTACACTGTTTATACACACCACATATTTATTTATATACTGGATTCTTGACATAGCGCATTCTAATATATCTACTGCTGTACATATTATTCTTAGTATATGTTTTGTAGATTCTCCAGGTGTACATACATAAAAATCGCATTTTGATTACTGCTGCAGTGCTATTTGAATTCTTATTTTTTTATTTAATGTCTGTCGCTCTCTCACTCTCTACCTTCTCTTTATCCCCCCTCATTCTCTTCTCTCTCCCTCCCCCTTCTTTCACCCCCTCCACCAGCTCCCTCCTCTCTCACACTCTCCGTCTTTCTCTCCCCTCTCTCCCCCTCCCTTACTCTCCCCCTTCTCTCGCTCTCCCTCCTCCCTCCTCCCCCCTCCAATCTCACTCCCTCCTTCTTTCCCTGCCTCCCCCTCGTCTCATCTCTCTCTCCCTCCTCTCTCTCCCCCATCCCTCCTTCACCCTCTTCCTCCTCTCTCCCCCACCCTCACTCTCCCCCTTTTATCTCTCTCCTCCCCCCTCCATTCTCTCTCCCTCCTTCTTTCCTTGCCTCCCCTGCCTCTAATTTCTCTCTCTCCCTCTCCCTTCTCTCTCTCCCTCCTCTCTTCCACAGACAGGCCGACAGACAGACACAGACAGACAGACAGGCTGACAGGCAGACAGACAGACAGACATGCAGGCAGTTAGGCAGGCAGACAGACAGACAATGTACGGCATCCTGGGGACACTCTTTAATGATACCTTGAGTTTCAAGTCTTTGCGTTAAGAATTGACCGTTCTACAGATGGAAGACAGTGTTTTTGTGTAACTGCAGCAGGGAGAGAATGAAAGGCCATGTTGAGGATGAATTAATACACTTCCTGTTGCCACAGAAAGCTGAACCTTATCACAGGGAATCCCTATAGGTTCATGATTGGTTGTGTGCAAGGATGGTTAGCTAGCTCAATAGCAGTCAACGGGGGCATCATGGTTATGTCAGGGCTGTAGATAATGCTTTTCTATGGAAGAAAAGCCTTGTTCTCTGTGGGACCAAGTTTTCACTGTGAAGAGTTAATTTCACATAGTCAGATGTAGGCTTGTGTTCATTGGGAGCATCTGTTGAACGATCCCAGGCTTGAATTTTGTTTCTAGCCTCAACCGTTCTGCCGATGTCGCTCAAAGCACATGAACTCTAGGTCAGGCTTCAAGTGAGGCCTACTTTTCTGCCATGTAGTGGGGGGAGGGGCAAATTAATTCATTGTTCATTGGATGAAGGTTAGGGTTATGTCTAGGATTGAGGCCCTAACTCTAACCCTGGCTTCATGTCCACATCCCGGCTCAACCCTAAACCTAGCCTCAACCCTAACCCTAACCCTAACCCTAGCTTTATATCAACTCCCGGCTCAACCCTAACCCAAAAAGTGGCGCCGGAGAAGGTGGCTGCCGTTTTACAGCCCTCTAACCAATTGTACTATTATGTGTGTTTTTTCGTGTTATTTGTAATTTATTCTGTACATAATGTTTCTGCCACGGTCTCTTATGACCAAAAAGAGCTTCTGGATATCAGGACAGTGATTACTCACCTCGTATTGAACAAATATATTTTCTTCAACGAGCCGGACGCGAAGGATATCCTACAGACACCCGACAAGGCCCAAATCCCTGTCATTCGCATGAGAAAGAGACAGAGATATCGTGGACATAGGTCGGGGTGCCTTGTAAGGATCCGACGGCGAGCGAGTAAACTGCCTCTTCCATCAATCCTATTAGCCAATGTTCAATCATTTGAGAACAAATTGGACGACCTAAGATTACGGTTATCCTACCAATGGGACATTAAAAACTGTAATATCTTATGTTTCACCGAGTCGTGGCTGAACGACGACATGGACAACATACAGCTACACGTCAGGATAGAACAGCTGACTCCGGTAAGACAAGGGGTGGCGGTCTGTGTATATTTGTAAACAACAGCTGGTGCACAAAATCTAATACTAAGGAAGTCTCTAGGTTTTGCTCTCCTGAGGTAGAGTATCTCACGATAAGCTGTAGACCACATTATTTACCAAGAGACTTTTCATCTATATTTTTTGTATCTACCACCACAAACCGAAGCTGGCATTAAGATTGCACTCAATGAGCTGTATAAGGCCATAAGTAAACAGGAAAACGCTCATCCAGAGGCAGCGATCCTAGTGGCTGGGGACTTTAATGCAGGGAAACTTACATCCGTTCTACCTAATTTCTACCAGCATGTGAAATATGCAACGGGAGGGAAAAAAAACTCTAGACCACCTTTACTCCACACACAGAGACGCATACAAAGCTCTCCCTAGCCCTCCATTTGGCAAATCTGACCATAACGCTATCCTCCTGATTCCTGCTTATAAGCAAAAACTAAAGCAGGAAGCACCAGTGACTCGGTTAATAAAAAAGTGGTCAGATGATGCAGATGCTAAGCTACAGGACTGTTTTGCTAGCACAGACTGGAATATGTTCAGGGATTCTTCAGATAGCATTGAGGAGTACACCACATCAGTCACTGGCTTCAACAATAAGTGCATCGATGTCCCCACAGTGACCATACGTACATACCCCAACCTGAAGCCATGGATTACAGGCAACATCCACACTGAGCTAAAGGGTAGAGCTGCCGCTTTCAAGGAGCGGGACTCTAACCCGGACGCTTATAAGAAATCCCGCTATGCCCTCTGACGAACCATCAAACAGGCAAAGAGTCAATACCGGACTAAGATTGAATCGTACTACACCGGCTCTGACACTCTTCGGATGTGGCAGGGCTTGAAAACTATTACAGACTACAAAAGGAAGAACAGCCGCGAGCTGCCCAGTGACACAAGCCTACCAGACAAGCTAAATCATTTCTATGCTCGCTTCGAGGCAAGCAACACTGAAGCATGCATGAGAGCACCAGCTGTTCCGGATGACTATGTGACCACGCTCTCCGTAGCCGATGTGAGTAAGACTTTTAAGCAGGTCAACATTCACAAGGCCGCAGGGCCAGACGGATTACCAGGACGTGTACTCCGAGCATGTGCTGACCAACTGGCAAATGTCTTCACTGACATTTTCAACATGTCCCTGACTGAGTCAGTAATACCAACATGTTTCAAGCAGACCACCATAGTCCCTGTGCCCAAGGACACTAAGATAACCTGCCTAAAGACTACCAACCCGTAGCACTCACGTCTGTAGCCATGAAGTGCTTTGAAAGGCTGATCATGGCTCACATCAACACCATTATCCCAGAAACCCTAGACCCACTCCAATTTGCATACCGCCCCAACAGATCCACAGATGATGCAATCTCTATTGCACTCCACACTGCCCTTTCCCACCTGGACAAGAGGAACACCTACGTGAGAATGCTGTTCATTGAATAAAGCTCAGCGTTCAACACCATAGTGCCTTCAAAGCTCATCACTAAGCTAAGGATCCTGGGACTAAACACCTCTCTCTGCAACTGGATCCTGGACTTCCTGACAGGCCGCCCCCAGGTGGTAAGGGTAGGTAACAACACATCTGCCACACTGATCCTCAACACGGGGGCCCCTCAGGGGTGCGTGCTCAGTCCCCTCCTGTACTCCCTGTTCACCCATGACTGCATGGCCAGGCACGACTCCAACACCATCAGAAAGGTGCTGACGACACAACAGTGGTAGGCCTGATCACCGACATCGATGAGACAGCCTATAGGGAGGAAGTCCGAGACCTGGCCGTGTAGTGCCAGCATAACAACCTCTCCCTCGACGTGATCAAGACAAAGGAGATGATTGTGGACTACAGGAAGAAAAAAAGAGGACTGAGCACGCCCCCATTCTCATCGACGGGGCTGTAGTGGAACAGGTTGAGAGCTTCAAGTTCCTTGGTGTGCACATCACCAACAAACTATCATGGTCCAAACACACCAAGACAGTCGTGAAGAGGGCACGACAAAGCCTATTCCCCCTCAGGAGACTGGAAAGATTTGGCATGGGTCCTCAGATCCTCAAAAAGTTATACAGCTGCACCATCGAAAGCATCCTGACTGGTTGCATCACCGCCTGTTATGGCAACTGCTCAGCCTCCGACCGCAAGGCACTACAGAGGGTAGTGCGTACGGCCCAGTACATCACTGGGGCCAAGCTTCCTACCATCCAGGACCTCTATGCCAGACGGTGTCAGAGGAAGGCCCTCAAAATTGTCAAAGACTCCAGCCACCCTAATCATAGACTGTTCTCTCTGCTACCGCATGGCAAGCGGTACCGTAGCGCCAAGTCTAGGTCCAAAAGGCTTCTCAACAGCTTCTACCCCCAAGCCATAAGACTCCTGAACAGCTAATCATTGCTACACAGACTATTTTCACTGCCCCCCCACCCCCACCCTCCTCTTTTACGCTGCTGCTACTCTGTTTATTATTTATGCATAGTCACTTTCACTCTACCCACGTGTACATATTACCTCAATTACCTCGACTAGCCGATGCCCCAACACATTGACTCTGCACCGGTACCCCCCTGTATATAGCCTCCCTGCTGTTAATTTATTTTACTGCTGCTCTTTAGTTATTTGCTTAAATTTTTTTTACTTAACACTTTATATTTTTTAAATCTTTAAAAAATGCATTGTTGGTTAAGGGCTTGTAAGTAAGCATTTCACTGTAATGTCTACACCTGTTGTATTCGGCGCATGTGGCAAATAACATTTGATTTGATTTGATTTTATCCCTAACCCTCGCTTCATGTCCACATCCCGGCTCGACCCTAACCCTAACCGTAGCTTCATATCATCTCCCGGCTCAACCCTAATCCTATCCCTAACCCTCACTTAATCTCCACATCTTGGCTCAACTCTAGCCATAACCCTAACACTAACTTCTAGTTCACATCCCGGCTCAACCCTAACTCCAAGAGCTGAGCCAAGATGTGGAGGGCTAGGGTTAGAGATATGGCTAGGGTTAGGGTTGAGCTGGGATGTGGACATGAAGCTAGGGTTAGGTTGAGTTTAGAGTTTGTCTGTCTGCCTGTCTGCCTGCTTCCCTGCCTGTCTGTCTGTCTGTCTGTCTGTCTGTGAGTTTATATATCTGTCTGCCTGTCTGTCTGTCTCTCTCTGTCTCTCTGTCTGTCTGCCTGTCTGAGTCTTTCACCAATTTACCCACCACCTATCACCAACTTCTTTGCCTTGAAGGCGATGTATTGACTTCTGCGCCAATACCCTTGATGCAAATCTATGCGTCAATATCCTCTCTGTGGAGGTGGGAAAGTGGAGAGAGAGGTGGAGGTGGGAGAGAGAGGGAGGGAGAGAAATAGATTAGAGGGAGGGAGGGGGGAGGAGGTATAGAGAGAGGGAGAGAAGAGGGTGTCATGTCTATGATACCTTTTTCTATGCATCCATATTGTGAGGCTAATCTTCCCCCATTGAGTGCAATGTATTCACTTAGGCATCAACCCTGTGACACTCATATTTTCACTTTGACTGCAATGTATTGACATGAACGTCAAGCCTATGACACTCATCTTTTCCTATTGACATAAGCGTCAACACTGTGACACATCTTTTCCCATTGACTGCAATTTATAAGACTAAATTGGTTGATGCTTATCTTTTCCCATTGATTGCTATGTATTGACATAAGCATCAACCCTGTGACACTCATTTTTTCACATTGAACCCAATATATTGAGAGAAACATCAAACCAGTGACAATCATCTTTTCCCATTGACTGCAATGCACTGAGAAAAACGTCAAACTGTGGCACTCATCTTTTCCATTGACTGCAATGTATTCAAAAAAACAACCATGTGACACTCATCTTTTCCCATTGACTGCAATGTATTGACAACATGTTTTTTCCCATTGACTGCAATGTATTGAGATAAACATCAACCTTGTGACACTCATATTTTCCCATTGACTGCAATGTACTGAGAAAAACTTCAACCCTGTGACACTCATCTTTTCCCATTGACTGCAATAGATTAGAGGGAAGGGGGAAAGAAGGAGGGAGATATAATAAAGGGGGAGGAAGTATAGAGGGAGAGGGTGAGGGAGGGAGGGAGGGAGGGAGGATTAGGTTTCATGTCTGTGATGGATTTTTCTATGCGTCCATATTGTGATGCTCATCTTCCCCCATTGAATGCAATGTATTCACTTAGGCATCAACCCTGTAACACTTTTCCCATTGACTGCAATTCATAAGATTCAATTGGTTGATGCTAATCTTTTCCCATTGACTGCAATGTATTGAGAAAAACGTCAACCCTGTGACTCTCATCTTTTCCCATTGACTGCAATGTATTGAGAAAAATGTCAACCCTGTGGCACTCATCTTTTCCCGTTGACTGAAATGTATTGAGAAAAACTTCAATTACTATTTTCTCTGAACAGGGGAAAGAAAATATCACCAAATTAACAGAGAATACATTACATGGGATCAAGAAACAATCCTCTGAGCCGCAGCTCCATACTACTTGTCAAACATAAAGAACTGATACTATATCATTGTTGTTGGGATGGAATTGGCGTGGGGGGTCCGTGGGTGGCTTCTGATATTTCTTTGGGATTCCTCATGTCTAATTTATTGTTCAAATTTGTTTTGTCCAAATCAGAGGTTAGAGTACGTACTATATTTACTGAATATTATATGAATCCTATAAATTAAAATGACCAATTTGTGTGCAATCAATTAGCTTAATTTCTCAGAGATCAAATTATATTTCAACAAAATAATGTTGCAGGAATGCTAATCTTATCTGTTTTTAACAACAAAAAACGATTTTAGAACCATCTGAGATGGTGGGTGTCGGAATCCTCTTTCTTGTGCTTTTTGAGGTGGAACGACCCTTAAGGCATTAAAGAATCAATGTGCATTATTAATTAAAATTACAATTGAACAGGTAAAGAGGTATGCTTAGAATATAATCTACGCAGAAAAATATACATAATGTTGACATGGAATTGGGCATAATGATTATGGTTCTATATTGCAGGAAAAAGCTGTCCCCTCTAAAATAATGGGAGCATGACGCCCCTGACCCAGAGGCTTGTGCTTTTCTGATGAGTACCTACTGCACTCATCTTCTCACTGAGGCCCACAGGACAACAGCAACTAGGCCTACACTACTACTCACTAACTTTAAGCATCAGTTGTCAGAGCACCTTACCGATCACTGCACCTGTACACAGCCCATCTGAAATTAGCTCACCCAACTACCTCATCCCCATATTGTTATTTATTTTGCTCTTTTGCACCCCAGTATCTCTATTTGCACATAATCTCTTGCACATCTATCATTCCAGTGTTAATACTAATTGTAATTATTTTGCACTATAGCCTATTTATTGCCTTACTTCCATAACTTGCTACATTTGCACACACTGTATATATATATTCTGTTGTATTTTTGACTTTATGTTTTGTTTTACCCCATATGTAACTCTGTGTTGTTGTTTTTATCGCACTGCTTTGCTTTATCTTGGCCAGGTCGCAGTTGTAAATGAGAACTTGTTCTCAACTGGCTTACCTGGTTAAATAAAGGTGAAATACAATTTTTAAAAATAAACTTGAGAGTCCAATCACAACCCTTTAAATAGGCAGAAGAAGGGTGTGAGCTAAAGCATTAGAGTTGAGAGAAACACACAAACAGCAAAACAAACAAAATACACATTCAATGGAGCGCCATGAAGACCTGACCCTAAGGCTGACCCTAAAATACTTCAGTTGTATCCTTCGGAAAATCTGACTGCTTCGCTAATCGCTATGTGTTCATGTCTGTGTGAGAAAGGATCCTCTGTGTTTTACTGGCTGCAGGAAGGCCACCTACAGAAGTGAGTGGGAGAACAATACTCTGAGGTAGAGGGGGGCTGGGTTGGAGCGCAGAGTGGAAGTGTCTCCTGGCCTTCCTCTGCTCATAGTTCTTGGCTTCACTCCACTGTTGTCCTTCTGTTGTTTCAAGGATTTTCCACCATTAAGTGTTGAGAGATAACGACCAGTTAATTACCTTAACAAGCCCCTAACGACACCCCTGAGAGGGCTGTGTGTTCCCAAAGCACCTGGCCCCATTGTTCCTCTCCCTGTGTGTGTGTGTGTGTGCGTGTGTGTGCGTGTGCGTGTGCGTATGTTTGTGGGTGGGGGTCCATGCGTGTGTGAGTGTGTGTGTTAGGGATGGCTGGCTTACTCAGTTCAAAAGATACAGAGAGTGCTCAAACAAACTAGAGGGTATTGGTTGTAGTAGCACTGTGCTGGAATACAGGATGTAGCCTAGCCTTGAAATTCTGGTCTGTACTGGTGGATTATAGTACAGTCATAGGTGGATAATTCACAGTAGGTATATTTTTATTTGTGTGTCTGGTCCCTTGTGATTTTTTTCTGATGGACATGACAGTGAACTTCTCTGGGTATTAATTCCTGTCATGTTTGCCATCAGAATACCATGGTTTACATGTACACACCTTTTTAGCAGCATTGGTCAGAACCTGACTGGGGCTATGGCCTGTATTGACTGTATATACATCCCAATACGCTATCTCACAATCACACAATAGAGGAGCTTAGAGACACTGTTTATATTCTTGAAATGTCATCATTGTTTGATTTGTGTTCTGCATGTCTGAACGTCCTGTGTGTGCTTTCCTCTGGTTGATATGGTTGTTCCTAACATTCCTCTTGTGGAGGTATTTATTTGCAGTGCTGTGGTGTTGTCAGTATACACTACCGGTCAAAAGTTATAGAACACCTACTCATTCTAGGGTTTTTCTTTATTTGTACTATTTTCTACATTGTAGAATAATAGTGAAGACATCAAAACTATGAAATAACACATATGGAATCATGTAGTGAACAAAAAAGTGTTAAACAAATCAAAATATATTTTATATATGAGATTCTTCAAATAGCCACCATTTGCCTTGATGACAGCTTTGCACACTCTTGGCATTCTCTCAACCAGCTTCACCTGGAATGCTTTTCCAACAGTCTTGAAGGAGTTCCCACATATGCTGAGCACTTGTTGGCTGCTTTTCCTTCACTCTGCGGTCCGACTCATCCCAAACCATCTCAATTTGGTTGAGGTCGGGGGATTGTGGAGGCCAGGTCATCTGATGCAGCACTCCATCACTCCCCTTCTTTTTTTTCTATTTTTGTTCTTCTTTTTTTTTTAAATGTTTTTTATATATATACTCCCCTTTATTACTTTTCAACCCTGCCATCCTTTCCCTACTTGGGGTAAATTAGTGAACAACAATGCCCAGGCCTCTACTTCCAACCTATACTTACTATCTACACCTTATGGACACAGTCAATTTTACAATAATTCTATTTTATTTGTTTTTGCTCCTAAACTTCTTCTACTCTCAACCTCTCCAATCATTTTCATGATGTCCATCCGGTTTGCTTCTATATGCCATATCTTTCTAACTGTGCTCTTTCCCAAAAGCTCCCAACATACAACCTATATACTTATTATAGACACAGTATGCTTACATTATTAGTTATCTTGTTATTATTTGTTGTTATTTGTTATTAGTCCCATCCTTCAACTCCATTCAATACCTCCCATCTATCTCTTAACACCATCCATATAGGATTCCTATTTGCCATATATATTTCAACCGTACTGTGATGTTTTACAAAAGTTCTGAACCTTTCTATTCTCATTGCTTCTACAGATTGTGAATTAAAAATAAAAAAAATTGCTAAAAGTATTATTATATTATTGATCGATTGACTATGACTTTTCAGATCACCCAGTAATGCTATCTGCAAGGTTATCTCCAGGTAAATATTGCAATCCTTTAGCCATTCCTGGACCTGTGTCCAAAAACAAGCTACAAATGGACAGAACCAAAACAAATGATCTAATGATTCTGTCTCTTCACAGCAAAATCTGCAGAGCTGGGAAGATTGTATCCCCCATATAAATAACATTCTATTGGTAGCAAGATATATAATAATTTAAATTGAAAGATTCTAATTTTTGAATCCGGTGTCGTTTTGCGTGTCAGTTCATAAACACTATGCCATGGGATCGGTACGTCAAAGATCTCTTCCTAACTATTTTGCAATTTATATGGGACGGCTGTTTTTCTTAACCAATTATGTTCTTTAATGCAAGGCCGACAGACAAGTTCCTTACTTTCTCCCCCTTCCACTTTCCTCTTCCACTTTTGCGGTAAGGCTGCAATTATTTGGTTGTAATTTTGGATAGAGCAGACATTTCCATATGTTTTTGTTAGCTGCATGTGCGACATAACTCCACCAGTCCAACCGATGATATCATTTACGAAGATTATACCTTTTTTAAACATTCTGTCAAAAAATCCCCTTCTTGGTAAAATAGCTCTTACACAGCCTGGAGGTGTGTTGGGTCATTATCCTGTTGAAAAACAAATGATAGTCCCACTAAGCCCAAACCAGATGGGATGGCATATCGCTGCAGAATGCTGTGGTAGCCATGCTGGTTAAGTGTGCCTTGAATTCTAAATAAATCACAGACAGTGCTTTACGGTGGGAAATACACATGCGGCGATCATCCGTTCACTCACACCGCGTCTCACAAAGACATGGCGGTTGGAACCAGAAATCTCCAATTTGGACTCCAGACCAAAGGACACATTTTCACTGGTCTAATGTCCATTGCTCGTGTTTCTTGGCCCAAGCAAGTCTCTTCTTCTTATTGGTTTCCTTTACATAGTTTCCTTTAGTAGTGGTTTATTTGCAGCAATTCGACCATGAAGGCCTGATTCACACAGTCTCCTCTGAACAGTTGATGTTGAGATGTGTCTGTTATTTGAACTCTGTGAAGCATTTATTTGGGCTGCGATTTTTGAGGCTAGTAACTCTAATGAACTTATCCTCTGCAGCAGATGTAATTCTGGGTCTTCCATTCCTGTGGCAGCCCTCATGAGAGCCAGTTTCATCATAGCGCTTGATGGTTTTTGCGACTGCACTTCTTGACATTTCTCAAAGTTCTTGACATTTTCCGTATTGACTGACCTTCATGTCTTAAAGTAATGATGGACTGTCGTTTCTCTTTGCTTATTTGAGCTGTTCTTGCCATAATATGGACTTGGTCTTTTACCAAATAGGGCTATCTCCTGTATACCCCTCCCTACCTTGTCACAACACAACACAATTAAGAAGGGAAGAAATTCCACAAACACCTGTTAATTGAAATGCATTCCAGGTGACTACCTCATGAAGCTAGTTGAGAGAATGCCAAGAGTGTGCAAAGCTGTCATCAAGGCAAAGGGTGGCTGTTTGAAGAATCTCACATATATTGATTTGTTCAACACTTTTTTGGTTACTACATGATTCCATATGTGTTATTTCATAGTTTTGATGTCTTTACTATTATTTTACAATGTAGAAAATAGTAAAAATGAAGAAAACTCTTGAATAAGTAGGTGTTCTAAAACACCCAATCCCAACTCGACCCTCTGCCCAACCCTCCATGCACTTGTGTAGATCTAAGAGGTTATGTATGCAATGTGGGGAAAATTACTCCAAGCCTATCAGGGGGCAAAGTGAGGATTTTAACATATTGCTTATGCCTGTGAAATTCTATCGTGTCTAGGTGAAGTGCATAGTGGTAGGGCCAGGGGGTCAATTTGGGATTATGTGTATCTGGGAAAGAGCAGCAGGCAATGAAGGCTCTCTCTCTCTCTCTCTCTCTCTCTCTCTCTCTCTCTCTCTCTCTCTCTCTCTCTCTCTCTCTCTCTCTCTCTCTCTCTCTCTCTCTCTCTCTCTCTCTCTCTCTCTCTCTCTCTCTAGGAGGTGGGTGGTGAGGGCAGAGTTAATCTAGTCATGGAGAGTACTCTGACAGCGCGGGACAGGATGGGGGTGCAGGACTTTGTCCTGCTGGAGAACTACACCAGCGAGGCGGCCTTCATTGAAAACTTGCGCCGACGTTTTGGGGAGAACCTCATTTATGTAAAGAATCATGTCATTATGGAAAAATTGGTCCTATAAAAATTATCGGCACATGCTTCGTAAACAACAGGTGTAAACTAACGCCCCCCACCAAAAAAAATTACACGAGAAAGGAATAACTACACAATGAGTAACGATAACTTGGCTATATACACGGGTACTAGTACCTAGTCGATGTGCAGGGGTAATTGAGGTAAATATGTACATATGGGTAGGGATAAAGTGACTAGGCAACAGGATAGATAATAAACAGTAACAGCAGCGTATGTGATGAGTCAAAAGAGATAGTGCCAAAAGGGTCAATGCAGATAGTCCAGGTAGCTAGCAATTGGTTAACGATTTAACTAACTATTTAGCAGTCTTATGGCTCGGGGGTAGAAGCTGTCCAGGGTCCTGTTGGTTCCAGACTTGGTGCATCGGTACTGCTTGCCGTGCGGTAGCAGAGAGAACAGTCTATGACTTGGGTGGCTGGAGTCTTTGAACATTTTTAGGGCCTTTCTCTGACACCGCCTGATATAGATGTCCTGGATGGCAGGTAGCTCTGCCCCAGTGATGTACTGTAGCGCCTGCAGTCGGATGCCAAGCAGTTGCCATACCAAGCGGTGATGCAGCCAGTCAAGATCCTCTCAATGGTGAAGCTGTATAACTTTTTGAGGATCTGAGGGCCCATGCCAAATCTTTTCAGCCTCCTGAGGGGGAAGAGGCATTGTCGTGCCCTCTTCACGGCTGATACTACATAGCTTTACATAATGTTTGGTTAAGGTTGATTTTATATCAGTGTTTGTGTGGGTTTTGTGTTTGATGGGTTGGTGATGGCAGTGTGCGGGTTTTGTCTCCCTGTATCAGACCTACATAGGGTCAGTGTTGGTGTCAGTGAACCCCAACAAGGACCTGGAGATCTACTCCAAGGTGCACATGGAGCGCTACCGAGGGGTCAGCTTCTACGAGATATCACCCCACATGTGAGTCACCCTCTGACCCCTGACCTCTGACCCCTGATCCTTAACCTCTCTCTGACTCAGCAGGACCAGCATGAGTGTGTAGATGTCTTTATGTACATACAGTAGGCCTACATATGAATCTGCATTGGGTACATTACATTTAAAGTATGTAGTGTGTGTTTGCTATATGATCGTGATCCACTGTATGTGAAAACACCAGTATGAGCTCAATCATTAGCTGATATCATGTTTGTATCCCACCCCTCTGTTTCTCTATACTGTAGCTTTGCGGTGTCAGACAACACGTACCGGGCCATGCGGACTGAGAGGAGGGACCAGTGTATCCTGATCTCTGGGGAGAGCGGAGCAGGGAAGACTGAGGCCTCCAAGAAGATCCTCCAGTACTACGCCACTACCTGCCCTGTCACTGACCACATGAGTACGCTCCGGGACCGCCTGCTGCAGTCCAACCCTGTTCTGGAGGTACCGTATACCCCCCGCCCCCTCCCAAGATCCCCTGCCAAGGATTTCTTCCCATGAGCACTTCTAAGGCTCTGGAGGAGGAAGAACATTTATAGCAGGGGTACTGAGACTGGTGTAACATCAATGAGAGAAATGAATGGCCCACTACAAAATCATGTTGCTTCAAAGAAGTAAATCTATTGGTGGATGAGGGAAATCATGTTGATACATTGCATATTTGAACCAATCTCTGACAAAGCCATAACAATAGATACGTCCTGCTGTGAACATGCTATTACTGTACTGTTAATGTTTCCTATCTCTCAGCTGTGTTTGATCTTATCTCTGTTGTTTCCCTCGCTCACTTCTTCTTTCTCTCTGTTTTCCTGGCTCTCTCTCTACAGGCCTTTGGGAATGCCAAAACATTGCGAAATGACAATTCCAGCCGTTTTGGCAAATACATGGATGTCCAGTTTGACTTCAGGGTAAGCCTGTTGTTCTTCCTTCCTTTGGCTCCTGGGTTAAGGGATTTTCCACACGTAATTCTACTATCGCTGACACTCCAATCCATCAAAAGATTGTGCATAGCTAAAACATTTTGCATTCAGATCTTAACATACTGCATGCCTTACTATGAGTCTAAGTCATGAGGGCATGATTCAGCTAAAAGCCGATTTATGGTCATTCCGGAATCTGCATTGGCTGTACAGCATTTACTGCGATGCAGCCTCTGCAGAAGTCCGGACATTCATACTTCTTGCGCTTTGCGGAGCAGAGCTGTTATGAAGAAAGTTGTCAAGGAAGTGAGTTTGTGTTTATATTGTGTCACATCCTCCGTACGGAGCCTCCGGACCGGATTTTCGGATCAAGCATAAATCGTCTTTAAAGCAGCTCTAACTGTGCCACTAGAGATCCTGGTTCGAATCCAGGCTCTGTCGCAGCCGGCCGCGACCGGGAGACTCATGGGCGGCGCACAATTGGCCCAGCGTCGTCCAGGGTAGGGGAGGGAATGGCCGGCAGGGATGTAGCTCAGTTGATAGAGCATGGCGTTTGCAACGCCAGGGTTGTGGGTTCGATTCCCACGGGGGGCCAGTATAAAAAAAATATATGTATTCACTAACTGTAAGTCGCTCTGGATAAGAGCGTCGACTAAAATGTAAAATGTAAAAATGTAATAGGACCACACTTAGCAGTACTTTGACTGTCCCTGTCCCTAACCTCCCCTAGGGGGCGTCGATAGGAGGCCACATCCTCAACTACCTGCTGGAGAAGTCCCGTGTGGTGCACCAGAACCATGGAGAGAGGAACTTCCATATTTTCTACCAGCTGCTCGAGGGAGGAAAACAGGACCTTCTCAGCAAGCTGGGCCTGGAGAGAAATGCCCAGAAATACCAATACCTGGTCAAGGTGTGTGTTTGTGCGTGCGCACGTGTGTGTGTGTGTGTGTGTGCAGTTATTTGATCAGTGATGTCCTGTTCCTCTCAGGGTTGCTGTCCTAGGGTGAGCTCCATCAATGATAAGAATGACTGGAAAACAGTGAGGAAGGCCCTGACTATCATCGGCTTACGTGAGGATGAGGTGGAGGTTAGAATTTTTTTTGTGTATAATAATACTGCACACCGTTTTTCACTGCAAACAAATTTCACTCAACCCAAAGTTTCACCATGACCATGCTTTAAATTTGTCTGTTCTCTCTCCCTCTTTAGGATCTGTGGAATATAATTGCCAGTGTCCTCCATCTTGGGAACACTCAGTTTGGAGAAGGAGAGAATGGGGAAAACCAGATCACCACTGAGCCACAGCTCAAATACCTGTCGAAGGTTGGAACTATGAAGATGAACGATACCCTCCTCCCCCCAACAAACACACACACACACAAACACACGCACACACACATATTCCCCATTCTAAAGGCAGATGTTGATGTTGTCCTGCTTGTTCTGCAGCTGCTGGGTGTGGATGGAGCAGCATTGAGAGAGGCTCTCACTCATAAGAAACTCACTGCCAAAGGGGAGGAGGTGAGTGTCTATGGTGGGCTGTTTCACTTGATACAGAACTATGCCTGGTAATATAATATAATGTAATATCCCACTTACAAACAAGTAAAGCAGTATGCCTTTGATGTGTATGGCATGCATATTTAGATTTTGGTTTTAAAGAGAGGGTACTGATACAGTTCAGCTGAGCCCAGAGGATAACACATTAAAGTATTTTGCATCTCTAATTTCCAATATGTACAGTACCAGTCAAAAGTTTGGACACACCTACTCATTCAAGGGTTTGTCTTTACTTTTACTATTTTCTACATTGTAGAATAATATTGAAGACATCAAAACTATGAAATAACACATATGGAATCAGGTAGTAACAAAAAAGTGTTAAACAAATTTTAAACAAATCTCAAATTTGGACTCATCAGACCAAAGGATAGATTTCCACCGGTCTAATGTCCATTGCTCGTGTTTCTTGGCCCAAGCAAGTCTCTTCTTCTTATTGGTGTCCTTTAGTAGTGGTTTCTTTGCAGCAATTCGACCATGAAGGCCTGATTCACACAATCTCCTCTGAACAGTTGATGTTGAGATGTGTCTGTTACTTGAACTCTGTGAAGCATTTATTTGAGCTGCAGTTTCTGAGGCTGGTAACTCTAATGAACTTATCCTCTGCAGCAGAGGTAACTCTGGGTCTTCCAATCCTGTGGCGGTCCTCATGAGAGCCAGTTTCATCATAGAGCTTGATGGTTTTTGCGACTGCACTTGAAGAAACTTTGAAAGTTCTTGAAATTTTCCGGATTGACTGACCTTCATGTCTTAAAGTAATGATGGACTATCGTTTCTCTTTGCTTATTTGAGCTGTTCTTTACGTAATATGGACTTGGACTTTTACTAAATAGGGCTATCTTCTGTATACCCCCCTACCTTGTCACAACACAACACAATTAAGAAGGAAAGAAATTCCACAAATTAACTTTTAACAAGGCACACCTGTTAATTGAAATGCATTCCAGGTGACTACCTCATGAAGCTGGTTGAGAGAATGCCAAGAGTGTGCAAAGCTGTCATCAAGGCAAAGGGTGGCTACTTTGAAGAATCTGTGTTATTTCATAATTTTGATGTCTTCACTATTATTCTGCAATGTAGAAAATAGTAAAAAATAAAGAAAAACCCTGGAATGAGTAGGTGTGTCCAAACTTTTGACTGGTACTGTATGTGTGTGTGTGCGCATGCATGCTCACTTGTGTGTGTTTGTGTTCCAGATGATCAGCCCGTTGAGTTTCGAGCAGGCTGTGGCAGCCCGTGATGCCTTGGCCAAAGCGGTGTACGGCCGTACCTTCACCTGGCTGGTGGTGAAGATCAACCAGTCTCTGGCTTTCAAGGTCTCACACAAGCATCACTCATGATAGCTAGCTAGCAAAACAATTTGCTTATTTGCTCGTAGTTACTGCTCCTCTCTTTGCTAGCTACCTAATGCTGCTTCCTACCTCCAAAACTGAGTGTATTGTGTGCTGTCTATCTGCAGGATGAAGTGTACAACAGCAGTAAAGGCTCATCATCAGTCATAGGACTGCTGGATATCTATGGCTTTGAGGTTTTCCAGCACAATAGGTACCTGAACACATTTTTGTTAATTTACTCAGTGCATGAATATGTGTTTAATAGCAATGTGTTGTACAGTATGTAATTGCTTTGCTTTGACTCAATTCAAGAATCACTCACCGATCTTAAATTAGTGGTAAATGTTGATAAAACCAAGTTTATGTTTTTCTCCAGGTCTCGTAAAATTGATCCTAATGACTTGCGTATCTGTACCTTGAGAGGAGCCCAAATTGAGTTAGTCCCCCTTTATAAGTATCTAGGTATTTGGATTGACGATAAGCTGTCCTTTAAAACACACATTGATAAACTGACAAATTAGTTGCGAGTAAAGATTGGTTTCCTATATAGAAATAAATCCTGTCTCACTTTTGAAAATAGGGGGAAGATTGTTCAAGCAACCCTCCTCCCAGGAACTGACTATGGCGACTCAATCTACATGCACGCTGCAGCCTCTGTGTTAAAACCTCTAGATTCAGTCTACCGTGGAAATAGGGCTAATGATGCATAGGGAAATTATCACCAGTGATAAAACGCAAGGCTGCGTGCCTTGCGTTTTATCACTGGTGATAATTTCCCTACGCATCATTAGCCCTATTTCCACGGGATTAGGTTTACTGGGGGAGATACGGTTTTGTAATGATGTGCACAAGCACATATCACCACATCTGTAATTTAAGTCCTGTCTGAATCTGCTATGTCTGTCATTTTTACATCGCAGAAGAGTAATAATTCCAGCCGAAAAAAACTACTGTTTTTCAACTAACTCCAAGGTCCTCTGATAATACTAGTCCTGTGCGAATCGAAATCCCTGTGTTTTGAGAGAAATGTCTGAGTTTGACAGGTGTTGCTCACGGTTGGAGCAAGAAAACAATAATTGATTCGATACATTTATGCTTAAAACAAAGTGCTACGCATAGCCTATATATGAAGGGCCTATATGTATGCATCAACTTTCACAGTGAATTATTTTGTTTATACGTTTTGTGCCATTGAATTGAACATCGGCAAATGCGTAAGTAAAAAAATATTGTTCCTATTTAATGCAACCCTTGCTGTTAATAGAGCGCAAAGCAGCATTACAACTGAGCTAAACTTTTGGATTTAGCAGTTAACTTTCTCATCCATAGCCTAAAAACGCATCTTAAGTGCAAGTGTACGGTTTAGCTCACATCTGCAGGCTGGGGGGCATTTAGGACGTCTTCTACTGCGGATCACTAAAATATCCTAATTTGATTGTGATCACATTTCCTCAATTCAAATATTATGGCCACACTATACCAAAGATGGTATGGTATGGTTTAGAAACTTGGGAGCCAAGCACGAGTTATCAGTGTAGCCTGTTCACCTGGACATGTTGATATACAGTGCCTTCAGAAAGTATTCATACCCGTCGATTTATTCCACATTTTGTTGTGTTACAGCCAGAATTCAAAATGTATTAAATAGATGTTTCTGTCACCCATCTACACACAATACCCCATAATGACAAAGTGAAAACATGGTTTTAGAAATGCTTTGCACATTTATTGAAAATGAAATACAGAAAAATCTAATTTACATACACTACCGGTCAAAAGTTTTAGAACACCTACTCATTCAAGGGTTTTTCTTTATTTGTACTATTTTCTACATTGTAGAATAATAGTGAAGACATCAACACTATGAAATAACACATATGGAATCAAGTGTTAAACAAATCAAAATATATTTTATATTTTACATTCTTCAAAGTAGCCACCCTTTGCCTTGATGACAGCTTTGCACACTCTTGGCATTCTCTAAACCAGCTTCATGAGGAATGCTTTTCCAACAGTCTTGAAGGAGTTCCCACATATGCTGAGCACTTGTTGGCTGCTTTTCCTTCCCTCTGCGGTCCGACTCATCCCAAACCATCTCAATTGGGTTGAGGTCGGGGGATTTTGGAGGCCAGGTCATCTGATGCAGCACTCCATCACTCTCCTTCTTGGTAAAATAGCCCTTACACAGCCTGGAGTTGTGTTGGGTCATTGTCCTGTTGAAAAACAAATGACAGTCCCACTAAGCCCAAACCAGATGGAATGGTGTATCGCTGCAGAACGCTGTGGTAGCCATGCTGGTTAAGTGTGCCTTGAATTCTAAATAAATCACAGACAGTGTGACCAGCAAAGCACCCCCACACCATAACACCTCCTCCTCCATGCTTTACAGTGGGAAATACACATGCAGAGGTCATCCGTTCACCCACACACTCCAGACCAAAGGACAGATTTCCACCGGTCTAATGTCCATTGCTCGTGTTTCTTGGCCCAAGCAAGTCTCTTCTTCTTATTGGTGTCCTTTAGTAGTGGTTTCTTTGCAGAAATTCGACCATGAAGGACTGATTCACACAGTCTCCTCTGAACAGTTGATGTTGAGATGTGTCTGTTACTTGAACTCTGTGAAGCATTAATTTGAGGCGGTCCTCATGAGAGCCAGTTTCATCATAGCGCTTGATGGTTTTTGTGACTGCACTTGAAGAAACGTTCAAATTTTCCGGATTGACTGACCTTCATGTCTTAAAGTAATAATGGACTGTCATTTCTCTTTGCTTATTTGAGCTTTTCTTGCCATAATATGGACTTGGTCTTTTACCAAACAGGGATATCTTCTCTATACCAACCCTACCTTGTCACAACACAATTGATTGGCTTAAACGCATTAAGAAGGAATGAAATTCCACAAATTAACAAGGTACACCTGTTAATTGAAATTCATTCCATGTGACTACCTCATGAAGCTGGTTGAGAGAATGCCAAGAGTGTGCAAAGCTGTCATCAAGACAAAGGGTGGCTATTTGAAGAATCTCAAATATAAAATATATTTTGATTTGTTTAACACTTTTTTGGTTACTACATGATTCAAAAGGTGTTATTTCATAGTTTTGATGTCTTCACTATTATTCTGCAATGTAGAAAATAGTAAAAATAAAAAAAATACCTTGATAGAGTAGGTGTGTCCAACCTTTTGACTGGTATTATAAATGTGATATTTCAGGTTTTTTATTTTTTATAAATTAGCAAAATTTTCAAGAAACCTGTTTTTGCTTTGTCATTATGGGGTATTGTGTGTAGATTGATGAGGGGAAAAAACAATTTCATCAATTTTAGAATAAGGCTGTAACGTAACAAAATGTGGAAAGCACTGTATATTTGTTTCTACTGCCCTTTTGAATGTAACGTAATTTATTTGAAGTGTTGTAACTGTAATTTTGTAGTGATCATGCTTAAATTTGTTGCTCACATTGCTTGAACTGTTGTTCTCAGGAATGAGACCCTGGTCTCAGTGGGTTCCCCTGGTTAAATAAAGGTTAATAAATAAATACAAAACATATTGTAGCACAGTTGTTTTGTGCCATATTTTTAACCCTAACCATCTCCCTGTAGTTTTGAGCAGTTCTGCATCAACTACTGCAATGAGAAGCTACAGCAGCTGTTCATTGAGCTCACCCTCAAGTCTGAGCAGGAGGAGTACAAGGCAGAGGGCATCACAGTGAGTCAGGGAGGGTTGAGGGGTACTCAGAGAAAGAGAGGGGTGTTTTCATTCAAATAGACAAAACAAGAATTAAGGTATACTAAGAAAAGCATATTGTCAAGTAGTGATGAGGGTGTAGTTCGCTAATGATACTGTGTATTTCAGTGGGAGCCGGTGAAGTACTTCGACAACAAGAATATCTGTGACCTGGTAGAGGAAAAGCACAAAGGCTTCATCTCCATCCTGGTGAGAATGACTGGCATTCACTTCAGTTTAGTAGTTTATTTGACTCTCTTTAGCCTTTCACCTCTTTCTAGTATCGCTCGCCCTCTGTCCTCTCCCTGTCTCTAGTTGAATGTTAATGTATAAATGTGGAATGTGTTTTAGGATGAGGAGTGTTTGAGACCAGGAGAGCCCAGCGATATCTCCTTCCTCAAGAAGCTTGAGGACACTTTGGGAGGCCATGCACATTTTGTCACGTGAGTCTCTTTTACACACACACATGCACAAAACACATGGGTGCCTTCACAGTTTGTTTGTGTATTTGCACCATATTCCAAATATGTTTTTGTGTGTATATTTGTGGCTCTGTATCTAATATATGATTTGTCTCTGTATGTCTGTCAGTCACAAGTTGGCGAATGGGAAGACTCGCAAGGCGGTGGGCAGAGAGGAGTTCAGACTGATTCATTATGCAGGAGAGGTCAACTACACTGTCAATGGTGAGCTAGCTAATCAATCTGGCAATAGTAAAACTGCAGAAAATAATTAACTGATTTCATCCTCACACATACTTTTTGTAATATTTTGTGTTCATCTGTATCAAAGGGTTTCTGGACAAGAACAATGACCTTCTCTACAGAAACCTGAAAGAGGCGAGGCTGGAGCAACAATGGAGAAATGAGAACACACAGACCACACACTCACACTCACCACACAACTACTACAGGTTTCCCATGATCTCTCTCAGATCTCCCACACATGGTTTATGTGTGTACACAACAGTAGGTATAGAGTGTGGGGGATGTTTTGGTGTGTTGTGTTTACATGGTTCTGTGGTGTGCTTTCTCTGTCCAGGTCATATGCCAGTCAGATAACCAGGTCCTGAGTCAGTGCTTCCACAGAGAGGAAGTGACTGACCAAAAACGCCCAGAAACAGTGAGATACGCACGCACACACACATAGACGCAAGCACGCACACACACACACACAGTTTGATATCTCACCACTCTGCTTCCCTCTGTAGGCTGCCACTCAGTTTAAGAACAGCCTGGCCAAACTGATAGAGATCCTGATGTCCAAGGAGCCATCCTATGTGCGCTGTATCAAACCCAACGATGCCAAGCAGTCAGGTAATCATACACCCTGTGAAGTCAATCAGTCAATTTATCAATCAATCAGTCAATTCAATATTCTCACTCTCCCCAGGGAGGTTTGATGAGGCTCTGGTCAGACACCAGGTCAAGTATCTGGGTCTGATGGAGAACCTGAGGGTCAGGAGAGCTGGGTTTGCCTACCGCCGATGCTACGAAGCCTTCCTACAGAGGTCAGTGTGTGTGTGTGTGTGTGTGTGTGTCTATATTATGTCACTCTGTTTACATGTTTCTATAACCACAGTTTCTATATTAACTATATACATTTCTGTAACCAAAGGTACAAGTCTCTGTGTCCCGGGACGTGGCCTAACTGGGAGGGCAGACTGGCTGATGGAGTAACCACACTGGTCCAACACCTGGGCTACAAACCAGAGGAATACAAACTGGGCAAGTAGGTACACACAGAGAGAGAAGGAAGGGGACATACATTTCCCTTAGTCATGTTGTGAGGAGAAACACGAGACAGTATGTCGTTGATGTATAATTCCATATCTCTTTGAAGGACCAAGATCTTCATCCGCTACCCTAAGACTCTGTTCAGCACTGAAGATGCCCTGGAGGCCAGGAGGCCTGCCCTTGGTGAGACTATACAGCAGGGAGGAGGATGACAAGGCCATTTGGGGGAAATTAATGTAATTAGCTAGGAGAATAACACAGATCATGATAAACAGAAGAGTAGCAGTAGCAGTGGAAAACAGGGAACTGCCCACTTGGTCAACTAAGCAGCAGCATGAGGATGGATAATACAGTAAGCTAATGTAATTATACTGAACAAAAATATAAACACAAGCTGCAACATGTTCAAAGATTTTACTGAGTTACAGTTCAAGGAAATTAGTCAATTCAAATAAATTCATTAGGCCCTAATCTATGGATTTCACATGACTGGGCAGGGGTGCAGCCATGGGTGGGACTTGGAGGGCATAGGCCCACCCACATAGGGAGCCAGGCCCAGCCAATCAGAATGAGTTTTTCCCCACAAAATGGCTTCATTACAGACATAAATATTCCTCAGCTGTCTTGGTTACACGTGGTCTGCGGTTGTGAGGCCGGTTGGAAGCCGCTTATGGTAGAGAAATGAACATTCAGTTCTCTGGCAACAGCTCTGGTGGACATTCCTGCAGTCAGCATGCCAATTACGCGCTCTCTCAAAACTTGAGACATCTGTGGCATTGTGTTATGTGAGAAAACTGCACTTTTTAAAGTGGCCTTTTCTTGTCCGCAGTACACTACCGATCAAAAGTTTTAGAACACCTACTCATTCAAGGGTTCTTCTTTATTTTTACTATTTTCTACATTGTAGAATAATATTGAAGACATCAAAACTATGAAATAACACATATGGAATCATGTAGTAACCAAAAAAGTGTTAAACAAATCAAAATATATTTTATATTTGAGATTCTTCAAATAGCCACCCTTTGCCTTGATGACAGCTTTGCACACTCTTGGCATTCTCTCAACCAGCTTCACCTGGAATGCTTTTCCAACAGTCTTGAAGGAGTTCCCACATATGCTGAGCACTTGTTGGCTGCTTTTCCTTCACTCTGCGGTCCGACTCATCCCAAACCATCTCAATTTGGTTGAGGTCGGGGGATTGTGGAGGCCAGGTCATCTGATGTAGCACTCCATCACTCTCCTTCTTGGTAAAATAGCCCTTACACAGCCTGGAGATGTGTTGGGTCATTGTCCTTTTGAAAAACAAATGATAGTCCCACTAAGCCCAAATTAGATGGGATGGTGTATCGCTGCAGAATGCTGTGGTAGCCATGCTGGTTAAGTGTGCCTTGAATTCTAAATAAATCACAGACAGTGTCACCAGCAAAGCACCCCCACACCGTAACACCTCCTCCTCCATGCGTTATGGTGGGAACTACACATGCGGAGATCATTCGTTCACACACACCGCGTCTCACAAAGACACGGCCGTTGGAACCAGAAATCTCCAATTTGGACTCCAGACCAAAGGACATATTTCCACCGGTCTAATGTCCATTGCTCGTGTTTCTTGGCCCAAGCAAGTCTTTTCTTCTTATTGGTGTCCTTTAGTAGTGGTTTCTTTGCAGCAATTCGGCCATGAAGGCCTGATTCACACAGTCTCCTCTGAACAGTTGATGTTGAGATGTGTCTGTTACTTGAACTCTGTGAAGCATTTATTTGGGCTGCAATTTCTGAGGCTGGTAACTCTAATGAACATATCCTCTGCAGCAGAGGTAACTCTGGGTCTTCCATTCCAGTGGCGGTCCTCATGAGAGCCAGTTTCATCATAGCGCTTGATGGTTTTTGTGACTGCACTTTCAAAGTTCTTGAAATCTTCCGGATTGACTGACCTTCATGTCTTAAAGTAATGATGGACTGTCGTTTCTCTTTGCTTATTTGAGCTGTTCTTGCCATAATATGGACTTGGTCTTTTACCAAATAGGGCTATCTTCTGCATACCACCCCTACCTTGTCACAACACAACTGATTGGCTCAAACGCATTAAGAGGGAAAGAAATTCCACAAATTAACTTTTAAGAAGGCACACCTGTTAATTGAAATGCATTCCAGGTGACTACCTCATGAAGCTGGTTGAGAGAATGCCAAGAGTGTGCAAAGCTGTCATCAAGGCAAAGGGTGGCTATTTGAAGAATCTCAAATATAAAATATATTTTGATTTGTTTAACACTTTTTTGGTTACTACATGATTCCATATGTGTTATTTCATAGTTTTGATGTCTTCACTATTATTCTACAATGTAGAAAATAGTAAAAATAAAGAAAAACCCTTGAATGAGTAGGTGTTCTAAAACTTTTGACCGGTAGTGTACAAGGTGCACCTGTGTAATGATCATGCTGTTTAATCAGCTTTTTGATATGCCCACCTTTCAGGTGGAATGGATTATCTTGGCAAAGGGGAAATGCTCACTAACATGGATGTAAACAAATGGTGCAGGAAAGTTGAGAGAAATACGTTTTTTGTGTGTATGGAAAATGTCTGGGATTTTATATTTGAATGAAACATGGGACCAACACTTTACATGTTGCATTTATATTTTTTTCAGTGTAGGATCAAATTAAACATGTCTGTTCTGTGGTCCAACCATTTTGTCTCCTCTTTTCCTGTGCTCTGCTCTAGTTCTCACCCTACAGACCTCATGGAGGGGTTACAGAGAGAGGGCCAAGTACCACCGCATCAGACAGGCAGGTGAGGGCCTGGATCTGCTTCTCAATTACTGCTTCCTCAAGCAGTTACACTGCAGCCACTTTCTTGATATCTGCAGAATCTATGAATGAAGTAATGCCGAGGATATGACTTTGTTGTTTGTTCTTATGAGCTCTGCACAGTTGTTGCTTGTTGTGGTGTGTCTGTGACATGACTGATTGCATCCTCTCTCTCTCGCACGCGCTCTATCTATCTATCTATCTATCTATCTATCTATCTATCTATCTATCTATCTATCTATCTATCTATCTATCTATCTATCTATCTATCTATCTATCTATCTATCTATCTATCTATCTATCTATCTATCTATCTATCTATCTATCTATCTATCTATCTATCTATCTATCTATCTATCTATCTATCTATCTATCTATCTATCTATCTATCTATCTATCTATCTATCTATCTATCTAATCTATCTAATCTATCTAATCAGTTCTAGTGATCCAGTCTGCGTGGAGAGGGATGAAATCCCGCCAGAGGACCAGGCGTCGCAGACACGCTGTGGACATCATACGCAAGTTCATCAAAGGCTTCATCTACCGCCACTACGAGCGCTGTCCAGAAAACGAGTACTTCCTGGACCATCAGCGTTTCTCCTTCCTGATGACGCTGGTTAGGAACCCGCCTAAGAGTGTCCTGGACAAGAGCTGGCCCATCCCCCCACCTAGCCTCACTGAGGTACTACAACCAGCCCAACAACACTCCACACAAAACTCACTGAGGGACATTAAGCGTAAGCCAAGGGGTGACGGTGCAATGCATCTGACTGTTGTACCTTCAATGTTTTATTTGTATCTGTCCCTATGTCTGTGTAGGCATCAGAGCACCTGTGCATGCTGTGTATGCAGAACATGATGTGGGCCTACTGCAGGAGGATCCAGCCGGAGTGGAAGAAACAGGTAGGCTACTCTACTGTCTGTTACTGTCACTCACCTGACGGGAGCACATAGAAAGGATATTTCTGTCCTATTTCTATCCGTTTTTTAAATCTCACACACTCTCTCTCTGTCTCTCTCTGTCTCTCTCTCTCTCTGTGTCTCTCTCTCTCTCTCTCTGTGTCTCTGTCTCGGTCTCCTTTTCTACATTCTTTCTCCCTCTCACTCTCTCCAACCTCACTCTACAGGCATTTCTTCTGTCCTCTCTCTATAGATGGAGCAGAAGGTGTTAGCCAGTCAGATATTCAAGCACCAGAAGGACAGCTATCCCCAGAGTGTCCCTAAGCTGTTTGTGGCCTCCAGACTAAGTAGGGTCCACTCACTAACACAGTGTGCACACACTTCGAAACTTCACAAACCACATACTTGACAAACACACCACTGACAGATGTTCTCTCCTTTATACAGACAGTGAGGAGTTCAAAGTGATACCGACTCTGGGCAATGACAAAGTGAAGGTGAGTAATATGATATTGTAATACTATCCCCCTGTAGTGTTTGTGTCAGTTTGGACTGGAGTCTACCACGACCCCTGTCTCACCTCTGTCACTCTGCAGTTGTTGGCTGAGTAGTTTAATCCTGCTAATTGGCTGTTTCCTGTGTACAGCATCTTTACAATGTCATGTATTGCTTTGAATCAATATTGATACAGTTATACTTTGACAACTTTGGGTTTTTATGACAACCCCTCCCTCTTTCTGTCTCTCCCTCTCGCTCTGTCATTCTCTCTCTTTCTCTCTCCATCCCCCTCTACTTCTATCTGTCTGTGTCAGTATGGAGTTACAGTGACTAAGTATGATAGGAGGGGTTACAAGGCGCGGCCTCGCCAGCTGCTCCTCACCTCCTCCTTCGCCATGCTGGTGTCCGAAGCCAAGCTGAAGCAGAGGATCGACTACGCAGCCCTGAGGAGTGAGTCTGCTGGGGGCCATAGGGGATTGAGGGGCTGGGGGTGGTGGGCCAGGGGGGGTGTAACCTTGGTTATGAGGTAGTTGTAGTGTATGTGTCCAGTGTATAACAGGGTTCTTCTCTTTCCAGGCATCTCTGTGAGTTCTCTCAGTGATGGTTTCATGGTTCTGCACGTGGCCAGTGAGGACAACAAGCAGAAGGTAACAGGATGACCTCATCCTGGTCATTTTATCTAGCGGTTGTCATGGCGACATACTATCATGGTGCCGTAAAGTACAGTACCTAACCTCTGACCCCTTGTCTGCCCTGTAGAGTGATGTGGTGCTCCAGTGTGATCATGTGATCGAGGTGGTGACCAAGCTGGCCACTATGGCGGACAAGAAGAACAAGGTCAACATGAGCCAGGACAGGTGAGTTTGGCGCCTCTGATCATCTGGACACTGGATAGCTTCATGACATTTTTCTGAGTATCTTTGAGAGCCTGCTGACATTTGTCAACCCTTTCCAACTGTCATGCACTGTTAGTGATCATGACACTTTTCTATTTTATCCCTCTTCTCTCTCATCCCCTCTCACCCCCCACCCCTTCCCTCTTTTCCTACTCACCTCCCTCTGGTCTTCTCCTCCTGTCTGTTCCTGTGTGCAGTATTACATTTGCGGTGGCTCGGGGGAAGGAGGGGGTCATTGACTTCACCAGTGGACCAGAGCTGAAGGTGGCCAAAGGCAAGAAAGGACACCTGCTAGTGGTGAGTCAGGGGACGGGAGAGACCTATTATTATGAGGACAGCAGGGCTGAGGAAGGGAGGATGAGAAAGGGGGGTAGAGGAGAAGAGAGGACTTGTAGATGGAGCATGAGGAGGACTGGGATTGTAAAGTGGAAAGCAGTGGAGTTTAAAGATAGCTACCTCTTTCATCTCTATATTTTCACTGGAGGTTTTGACCAATAATCCACATTAGGCAATAACAATGACGCCATTTGTGAATTGACTTGTTTTGCAGACGGCTCCTAAACTCAACCCATGATGATGATGGGAAGTAATGACCGCCTCGCTGTAATCAACAGCGAACCAATCATTCCACAGGATGATTTCCTGCCATAGCCAATCAGATTATAGCCACACAGGAGTTGTTTTTCTTCTTTAAATGTGAGACCATAGCCATACACTCACTGCAAAAAAATTAGAATGATTATTTTCTCTGTTAAAACAATTGTACTTATTAATCTGCATTTATATACAGTTGAAGTCGGAAGTTATACACTTAAGTTGGAGTCATTAAATCACGTTTTTTAACCACTTCACAAATGTATTGTTAACAAACTATAGTTTTGGCAAGTCGGTTAGGACATCTACTTTGTGCATGACACAAGTCATTTTTCCAACAATTGTTTACAGACAGATTATTTCACAATTCCAGTGGGTCAGAAGTTGGCTTTGCCTTTAAACAGTTTGGAAAATTCCAGAAAATTATGTAATGGCTTTAGAAGCTTCTGATAGGCTAATTGACATCATTTGAGTCAATTGGAGGTGTACCTGTGGATGTATTTCAAGGCCTACCTTCAAACTCAGTGCCTCTTTGCTTGACATCATGGGAAAATCAAAAGAAATCAGCCAAGACCTCAGAAAACAAATTGTAGACCTCCACAAGTCTGGTTCATCCTTGGGAGCAATTTCCAAACCTCTGAAGGTACCACGTTCATCTTTACAAACAATAGTACGCAAGTATAAACACCATGGGACCACGCAGCCGTCATACCGCTCAGGAAGGAGACGCGTTCTGTCTCCTAGAGATTAACGTACTTTGGTGCAAAAAGTGTAAATAAATCCCAGAACAACAGCAAAGGACCTTGTGAAGATGCTGGAGGAAACAGGTACAAAAGTATCTATATCCACAGTAAAACGAGTCCTATATCGACCTAACCTGAAAGTCCGTTCAGCAAGGAAGAAGCCACTGCTCCAAAACCGCCATAAAAAAGCTAGACTACGGTTTGCAACTGCACATGGGGACAAAGATCGTACTTTTTGGAGAAATGTCCTCTGGTCTGATGAAACAAAAATAGAACTGTTTAGCCATAATGACCATCTCTATGTTTGGAGGAAAAATGGGGGGCTTGCAAGCCGAAGAACACCATCCCAACCGTGAAGCACGGGGGTGGCAGCATCATGCTGTGAGGGTGCTTTGCTGCAGGAGGAACTGGTGCACTTCACAAAATAGATGGCATCATGAGGAAGGAAAATTATGTGGGTATATTGAAGCAACATCTCAAGACATCAGTCAGGAAGTTAAAGCTTGGTCGCAAATGGGTCTTCCAAATGGACAATGACCCCAAGCATACTTCCAAAGTTGTGGCAAAATGGCTTAAAGACAACAAAGTCAAGGTATTGGAGTGGCCATCACAAAGCCCTGACTTCAATCCTATAGAACATTTGTGGGCAGAACTGAAAAAGCGTGTGCGAGCAAGGAGGCCTACAAACCTGACTCAGTTATACCAGCTCTGTCAGGAGGAATGGGCTAAAATTCACCCAACTTATTGTGGGAAGCTTGTGGAAGGCTACCCGAAACGTTTGACCCAAGTTAAACAATTTAAGGGCAATGCTACCAAATACTAATTGAGTGTATGTAAACTTCTGACCCACTGGGAATGTGATGAAATAAATAAAAGCTGAAATAAATCATTCTCTCTACTATTATTCTGACATTTCACATTCTTAAAATAAAGTGGTGATCCTAACTGACCTAAGACAGGGAGTTTGTACTATGATTAAATGACAGGAATTGTGAAAAACTGAGTTTAAATGTATTTGGGTAAGGTGTATGTGAACTTCCACTTCAACTGTAGTTATTGATTTAAAATGACATATCATATATAATGGATTCAGAGGTTTTGCCAGCATTCATAATACTTTGTTGTTTATCAGTGAAAGTCGTATTAAATGAAACCACGCATTTGAAAATATTATGCTTCATCTTTATTTTGTAGTCCTGTTTACAATATATTAGCTCTTGCATGTAATACAAATACAAAACAATATTTATATTTCCATAGTAACAACAATAAACAGCATTTTAAAATAAATAAGTAATAAATAATAAATAAATAGGCAAATAGGCATCTTTGGAAAGTGCAGTGAAGTGAGTGAGGGCTTTGGAAAAAGGGGATGTTGGGTAGTGTTTCTCAACACACTTCCAGTTCTCGGCTGTTAAAGTCAGAGAGAGAGAGAGAGAGAGAGAAAAGACGGAAACTCAGGGAGAAACCCAGAGGAGAGTAAGGATGTAACACTTACAGTAATACTACATGTAAACCTTGTTTCAGTCTAACAAAGTGAACAGAGCATATCTCAACAATGAGAAATCATGATCTTAGGGTAAATACCAGAAATTGAACACAATTGAAGTTGAAATAAGACCATGAGGTATTGACATCACTTGGCAATATTGAGTCACAGTAAAGTCTTTCTGTCAAAAGTAATACTGAATTACTTATAAATATTAATAATATTAATATAATTATTATTGGTATTAGCTGTCTTAACTTACTACTGCTGAAATAAACTGTGTGCATTGACTACATCAAATACTGTTGTGTTATGATTCATAATGCTATGTAAATTCTCACATCCAATAATATCCCTAGTCCACAAAATAATTTAAAAGCCACTCTGACCACAACTTTTACAGGCTAGTGCAGTACTATTATGCATTATTAATATGAATCCATGCACACCGTGTCTATCTGCCCCTGGGCTGGGCGCCTGGAGGACCACTTTGTTTGGTCTTCAGGAGGATGAAGTCTCTGGCCAGCTTGGTGAGGTAGCGCTCCAGGTCCCTGAGGATGACGTAGCCCTCCAGGCGGCTATTCCATAGGGACTTTGATGGGGCCTGGTGGCTGGCGGAAGGGCTCACTGGATGGGTCAGGGCTGGGGGAGAGGTGGGGCTCACACTGGAGCTGTTCACATACCTCAACTGTAAAGACCACAGACAGGTTTATCAGACTGAGCTCATTACTATATTCTCCTTACAGTGGATATACAGTAGCTGCTGAGTAATGGGTAGCTATGTGCACACCTAATTCAGTGTGCAAAGACAATAAGTATACACACAATGTGTGAACACCGCAAATGTGTATCTGTGCATGTGTTCGTTCATTAATTTATATGGTGCAAATTGTACCTGAAAGTTTACTTTTGTCATGAGATCCCGCAGGTCTGTCTGAATGCACTGTATACTCTCGGGTATGGTGAGTTTAGCCTTCCCCATGCTCCCCATCCGGTGGGCTGCCCTCTGTTCCACCTTATCCCCCTCCATCTCCTTTCTCTTCATATCCAGGTGAGCCCAGAAAGTGTGCAGGTCTCGAGAGGCAGCACTCAGACGCTCCCAGTCCTGTACAGGCCGGATCATAACATTATACACAATGTCCCTCCTACTCCATCGTACCTTTTAAAGCATTAAACCACCACAGGTTAACAGTGATTCATACACAGGTCACACACAAACACACACCTTCATCTGAAGCCAGTGGTAAAAGTCTGTAGAGAGGGATGGTATGGTTTGTAACTCCAGATCTCTGTCCTCAAACTGCTTGTCATCCAACAGCTCCTCTTTCTGACAAGACAAATGAGGGTACATTATGATAACAGCCTGTAGTAGGTGAGGATAGCTGTTGTCTGGGCATACAATCGCTAGCAGACTAGCCACCAGTAACAGAGGAGTCAACTCACATATCTCCTGAGCAGCTGCTGAACCCGGGCGTGGGTGCACCTGGTGGATTTGAGGGAGTATGAGTAGGCCTGGAGTAGGCCTGGAGTGGAAGAACAACATGGGTACACCCAGCTCAGGGTGAGGAAGAACAGGGGAAACAGAACGCGCCACCAAACAGCCATCTGGAGAGACAGGGAGAAGATGTATGATTGCTAAACTGCACAATCATGGCAACATGTATTAGAATCAATACTCATTACATGTTAATTGCTTGTGGAACTCTCTCTAATGGCTCTATTCAATTTGTATCGCAGAAGTTCAGCTTTACAGCGTGATTGAAATTTAAAGGCAGTGTTCCGGCGTTAGTGGAGACTGCATTGATGGATGGTAAATGCTACATATGTCAGCTCAATCGGAAATTACCTTTACATTTCTATTGCCCAATCTGTAATGCTTCAGCAATACAAATTGAATAGAGCCCTAAATATGTATTACTTTACAACCACAATACAAATACAGTACAAATTGTAGATCCTTGACAATCTAGTACCAGCCTACTATGGAAAACTGGAGAATTTGACAAGCTCGTTCCTTTCTTTTTAACCTAGTATCATTCTCCCATCACACTAACACAGACTTCTTAGTATCTAAGCCTTATAGAGATAAAGAAGTACACCACAGGTGGTCCAGCTATGGAACACCTGTAAAGCTCAACACTAGCTCAGAAAGTGAGCTCGAGAGACAGAGCAGACTTACCTTCTATCAATAACAATCTGTGATTGACATACATCCTAGTGGCATCCTTTGATATTTATATAAGTCTTTAGTTTCTCTTGTGGTCAAGTGTTATTCTCAGCAATTTGTGTTGTGGTTTCTGCACGATGATGATTCATCTCAATTGCCCATTTCTATGTAGAAGTTCGTAAACACATCATTACATCATTATTCCGTTTTCACTTTGAGATAAATAGGGACTAATATGATGTATAATTATGCTAATAAATGTTGTATAATTATGCTAATAAATGTTATCTTATTTTGATCGAACTCTACAGTTTTGTAACTTTTTACAGTGTAATTGCAATCTAACCTAATTAGTCATTATATATGATATTCTGATGAGTTTAGTAATTAAACTACATTTTTATTTTTGTATCTGATTTATTAGACCATTGGATTTATATTTTTTCCGGTATTGTGTTTAAAGACCTACAATCCCTCGTTTACTCTTTACATTAGTACTGGGCCAAATTATTTTAAACGGGGCTTATAAGTAGTTTATACACTGTTAGTTACTTGTTAATCGTTTATAAATAATTCATATACAGTTATAAAACAATGATTAAACTTGTGTGATTGTCATTTAGCTGCTTGCCAAATACTGTCATATAACCAAAATAACAATCACACAAACGCAGCCATTGTATTCCTAGCTGTTTATTACTAATCTATAAACTACAGGTAACTGCCAAAATAAAGGAATAACAACATAAAGTGTCTTAATAGGGCGCTGGGCCACCACGAGCCAGAACAGCTTCAATGGTGTTTTGTTAATGGTGGTGAAAAATGCTGTCTCAGGCGCTGCTCCAGAATCTCCCATAAGTGTTCAATTGGATTGAGCACTTTGGTTACTACATGTAATAATGTAGTAACCAAAATAGTTTTAAACAGATTCTTCAAATAGCCACCCTTTGCCTTGATGACAGCTTTGCACACTCTTGGCATTTTCTCAACCAGCTTCATGAGGTAGTCACCTGGAATGCATTTTAACTAACAGGTGTGCCTTCTTAAAAGTTAATTTGTGGAATTAATGTGTTTGAGCCAATCAGTTGTATTGTGACAAGGTAGGGGGGTATACAGAAGATAGCCCTATTTGGTAAAAGACCAAGTCCATATTATGGCAAGAACAGCTCAAATAAGCAAAGAGAAACAACAGTCTATCATTACTTTAAGACATGAAGGTCAGTCAATACGGAACATTTCAAGAACTTTGAAAGTTTCTTCAAGTACATTCGCAAAAGCCATCAAGCGCTATGATGAAACTGGCTCTCATGAGGACTGCCACAGGAATGGAAGACCCAGAGTTACCTCTGCTGCAGAGGATAAGTTCATTAGAGTTACCAGCCTCAGAAATTGCAGCCCAAATAAATGCTTCACAGAGTTGAAGTAACAGACACATCTCAACATCAACTGTTCAGAGGTGACTGTGTGAATCAGGCCTTCATGGTCGAATTGCTGCAAAGAAACCACTACTAAAGGACACCACTAAGAAGAAGAGACTTGCTTGGGCCAAGAAACACAAGCAATGGGTGTGGGTGAACGGATGATCTCCGCATGTGTATTTCCCACCCATTATTTCACTATGATAGAAAGAGCAGAGAGGAGTTTCTGTCCTGCCAATCTCCTGGTGATCCCCATGAATCAGCTGCCTGGAGGGGGACTGCCCTGGGAATGTCTCAGAGAACATCATCAGTACCATTTTTTGCCACCATTATGGTGTGGGCATGCTTTGCTGGTGACACTGTCAGTGATTTATTTAGAATTCAATGCACACTTAACCAGCATGGCTACCACAGCATTCTGCAGCGATACGCCATCCCATTTCGTTTGGGTTTAGTAGGACTATCATTCATTTTTCAACAGGACAATGACCAAAACACATCTCCAGGCTGTGTAAGGGCTATTTTACCAAGAAGGAGAGTGATGGAGTGCTGCATCAGATGACCTGGCCTCCACAATCCCCCGAGCTCAACCAAATTGAGATGGTTTGGGATGAGTCGGACGGCAGAGGGAAGGAAAAGCAGCCAACAAGTGCTCAGCATATGTGGGAACTCCTTCAAGACTGTTGGAAAAGCATTCCAAGTGAAGCTGGTTGAAAGAATGCCAAGAGTGTCCAAAGCTGTCATCAAGGGAAAGGGTGGCTATTTGAAGAATCTCAAATATAAAATATATTTCGATTTGTTGAAAAATTTTTTGGGTTACTACATGATTCCATATGTGTTATTTCATAGTTTTGATGTCTTCACTATTATTCTACAATGTAGAAAATAGTAAAAATAAAGAAAAACCCTTGAATGAGTAGGTGTGTCCAAACCTTTGACTGGTACTGTATATTTTTGTATAAATAAAAACAATTTTAAGTGTAGAAAGCACCTACAGCTGTTATCAAACATTTGTTACAGCTTACCTGTTGCTGCACAGTATGAGATGATAAGTCAAAAGAAAACATTTCACAAAGACAGACAGCGTTCTTGCATGCACACACACACACACTGTTTCAGTCATCATGGTGCGTACCCACTCTGGTCGTTGCACCATATAAATGATGTACAGTACAGGGCAAAGGTGTGCAGGTAAAATGTGGTAATCAGACAGTGAAGGGATCAAAGGTCACTCAATAACCCTTTTGCCTAGACAATAATTTTCCCGCCACTGCACAATCATTGCTGCAAAGGCAGCAGTTTACTGTTTTTGACTTTCTGTCTTGCAAGTTATTTATACAATTTGACAGTTGAGATTTTAGGAAAATAAACATTTCAGGCAGTTTTAAAATTTACTTTTGATGAGAAAAAATATATTTGTAGGTTGTTGTATCATAGTGCCGTCTTGAGAGAGCATTGCGTCACCTCTGTCTGTTATACGCAGTCTGACTGAGTAATTGTGGTCTCTCTCTTTTTGCTTTCTCTTTCTATCTTCTCTCTAGATTACGAGCGAGCAAGAAAGAGAGGGTTGAGTCATTTTCTGTATTGCGGAAGAAGGCTGTTTCATCACAGTCTTATGCAGAGAGTGGCAGGTGGTTGCTGTTTGGCATACTCACCATTATTTCACTATGATAGAAAGAGCAGAGAGGAGTTTCTGTCCTGCCGATCTCCTGGTGATCCCCATGAATCAGCTGCCTGGAGGGGGACTGCCCTGGGAATGTCTCAGAGAACATCATCAGTACCATTTTGGGCATGCTTTGCTGGTGACAGTGTCAGTGATTTATTTAGAATTCAACACACACTTAACCAGCATGGCTACCACAGCATTCTGCAGCGATACGCCATCCCATTTCGTTTGGGTTTAGTAGGACTATCATTCATTTTTCAACAGGACAATGACCAAAACACATCTCCAGGCTGTGTAAGGGCTATTTTACCAAGAAGGAGAGTGATGGAGTGCTGCATCAGATGACCTGGCCTCCACAATCCCCCGAGCTCAACCAAATTGAGATGGTTTGGGATGAGTCGGACCGCAGAGTGAAGGAAAAGCAGCCAACAAATGCTCAGCATATGTGGGAACTCCTTCAAAACTGTTGGAAAAGCATTCCAGGTGAAGCTGGCTGAGAGAATGCCAAGAGTGTGCAAAGCTGTCATCAAGGCGAGGGGTGGCTATTTGAAGAATCTCAAATATAAAACATATTTTGATTTGTTTAACACTTTTTTGGTAACTACATGATTCCATGTGTTATTTCATAGTTTATGTCTTCACTATTATTATACAATGTAGAAAATAGTAAAAAATAAAGAAAAACCCTTGAAACTTTTGACTGGTAGTATATATGTGTTGTTACTGTTGTGGCCCCACTGGCCCGTGCACACAGGTCAGGTTCAGACCTGGAGAGAGGAAGTGGTCAGTGAACTACAGGTCCGTGGTCAGGACAACAGTGCTGATGGACAGATACAGTATCTACTTCCTATCCTTGGGGTGCAGAGAACTCTCACAGGGATGTGGTCTCAGGAGGGGCTGAGTGGGAGTGTGTGGGTGTGTGTGTTGTGGAGAAGAAGCTCTTTATGAGTCACATACATACATACTACCCCTTTCAAATTACACACATGACTCACCAGAAGGGCTTCCCTCATTCTCCTGACTCCCCCCTCTGCTCTCTCAGTTTGAATGAACACTGACAGAGATTCCCCGTCTCTGTCACTTTTAGTTTCATTACCTTTCCTTCCCATTTTTGGTAACCAAGAGAGCACTGATGATACCATGGAACACCAAAACGCTTGCTCAGCTCTGCTGTTTTGCAATGTGTGGACAGTACCTGACCTCAGCAATCCCTTTCCTTATATCTCTATCTCCCAATATACATCTGTACTCTGCCGTATTATTTGCACTAGAGAAGCCCTAAAGACAGTAAAAGGCATAAACTGTCAATATTAAATTGGATAGTAATTCTGTTTCCTCTCCCTTGTCACTATGA